AAGGAAAAGAAGCCATTGTGGTGTCTTCCCGGATCCATACATGCCAGTCACATACCACCTCATTTCCATAATTACCTGCATCAGGTGTAGGTCACCATGTTGTTTGAATAAGGGAAGGTGAGTGGAGAGGATGGCTTTCAAGCCACCCCCAACCCAGTGGCCCAATGGATTGTTCTAGGGGTCTGGGGTAGTTTGGAGGCAATTCCTGCTCCCCACACTAGGTGTGCTTAACCCACACCTAGAGCAGTCAATTACGGAAATGAGGTTGCATGTGTGGGTCAGGAAAAAGCAGTCACCATTGCTTTTTTCCCCCTTTTCTGATCATGAAATTCTGGCCTTTATGTTAAACCAGACACTGAAAGCCAGTGTGGCATGTTGGTTAGAGTACTGGACTGATGAACTGAGTCTTGGCTTTGAAGCTCACTGGGTTATTTTGGGCTCTTTTGGGTTACCCTCAGCATAACCTACCCTGTTGTTGTGAAGAAGAGGACTATGTAAGCAGCAATGGGTTTATTACAGGAGGAAAAAAGGTGGGGCTGAAATGCAGTGTTTTTATAATAATCATTTTAATAGCTCTATGTGAACATACACATGCAGTATCACATGTCCCATTACTTGAAAATGATCACTATGGCGTAACTTTGGTGCTTTTTCTAACAAAAAATCCTGCATGACCACCAGTTATGTTGCTGCATTTATTCTGATCCATTTTTATTATAGTAATACTTACTGTGGTTGTTAGCAGTTATTATTTAACATGTACTATATGTGTATTTGCATGCACATATACTAAGGAAAACTGAAGACAGAAAAAGAGGGAGCTCAAGTATGAGATGGATCATTTCCATAAAAGAATCCACAGCCTTGCATTTACAAGAGGGTGGTCAAGGAGAGGACCTTTTGGAGTGTTGCCATAAATTGGAAATGGCTTGATGGCACACAACAACAACTAAAATATTCTATGCATGAAATTATATATGCATTTTAAAGACGTGTTCATAATTTAATAGCTGTTTTGAATTATACTCTTTCCTTAATAAACAACACAATGACCAAATTATGCTCTTGGAACTCTTGGATGGAGAACCAATTGTGTCTATTCAATTAACCATGACTGATTTATAACTTACTAATCTGGTTTGCCTGGAATTTCCTGAGGGACACCTCCCCATTTCAAAATGTCCAGCTTGCCCCTTCTTCTGGGGCAGAACGTTTCGCTGATGTAAGCTGAACGTACCCTGAAAGTTAAGTTAGAAATAGATCAAGCAGTCCTGCTTTGTAAGTGTACAGACACATGTCCGGCTGCAGGGTTCTTAGTGCCCTTGGGCTAAGCGGCCTCCTTGGGCTCCCTCCCTTACTGCGTCTACTTTCTCACCACCATTATCAGCAGCCACTGCTTGTGCCCCTCATCCTGTTCCTCATAATGACCACCCCTTGCATCTCTGATGGGCAGCGAGCCAGTGAGCAAGCAGCACAAGGTACCTTCGGTTCCTCCGCGGTCAAGGCCAGAGCAGGAAACAGGGGAACAAGCAGGTCGCCATGGTGAAGAGAAGCAATTTCAAGGGGCTCTTGCCAATGGCCCCTGCAGGGCTGTGGGGCCTTAGGAGGTGCCCAGCTATGCTCCCTGAGACACCAGTCCCAAAAGCATACAAATACGTTGTTTTACGGATAGAGCTCCATTGTTCCCAGGGGGTGGAAAGAAAATATGTCCCCACTTTAGCAGGACTTCTTGATTACCACAGTATCTGAAGATGAAAGGGCTTGCTGGTTGCCACAAAGCAGTTTTTTGCTTCTAGATTTCCTACTACACAGAAATACTTGCTTCCCCAATAAGAGTTACTAGGCTGTAGATACCCTCCAAGGGATATTCCAGGTGTCTTTTTTGTTACTTTTTCTGAATTTTCAGCTACCTTGGGAAGAAAAAGGAAAAGGAAAAAAGAGAGGCAAGTCTCAGACCTTTGGCCCATTAACCTGTGAAATTTGCATGGAGCTTCATACAGAAATATATGCAGACCTTATTTTATCTGAAAATTACTGATGCTGAAAGCATATTAGACAATGGTTGCAACAACATTAGGTGACTGATAAGCACTTGGTGATGTTTAAAATATTGTATTAGCCCTTAATCTTGCAATTCAAACTATTTAATAGTTTACATAACCTTAATCCAAATATGTTGGACTCGTATATTGAACTGGATTTAAATTTTAGCTGTCTTTGGTCCATCTTATCTAGCTGTAGACTTCTTTAATTTGCTTGTCAGTTCATCCGCCCTAAGATCTTGTAACTGCACGTCATCATGTGCGTATCTAAATGTGGAAATCCCTTGCTACAAAGCAACTGCACTACCATGCACCTCTCTCTACTTCCCACGTTGTTTCACAATTACTTAGAATCCTTCTTCATACATATGCCATATCCTAAGGCCCTCGCACTGCAACATTCCCCCAAAATGTTCTAGGACACATTTGGTGTGGTTAGGTAATGTTAGATTCTGGACTTAACTGTCTTACAGGCAGGGGCTGTTTAGATGGTAATGTGCATTGCTTCATTTTTATCATCATCATCATCATCTCTATACTACTTCACTGCTGAAGCTCTCTTGACTTTCAGATGTGGTCCATCACTGTTTGATAACGATGCTCTCTTAGGTTGTACCATTGGGGTATAAAGCCTATCCTTACCGGGGCAGTCAAAAGAATTATTGCATGCCACTGAAGGAACAGTTCAGCTGGGATGTCCGTAAGCCTCTGATCTCAGACACTTACAGACATCCTAGGCAGTGGGGAGGGAAGTGTCAAGGTCTCCTGCTCACTTCTGGTAAATCAGCTGGACAGCCATTTTCAGTTGGCTAGCTGCAAGCTTTGGAGGGGGAGAGGAGGCTGGAAGGCAATCAGGATATTTCGCCTCCTGTCAGCTCCAGCCTCTTACCCACCCTACCCTCTGAAGGAGGATGAAGGAAAGGTGATGCACCCCCTCTGCCCCTTCTCTGAGGGTGCTCTTACGTCCTCAAAGAAGCAGCCGGCGCAGTTCTTTCCATGCTGGCTACAGAAGAGGGTGGGGAGCAAGCTGAACATGGATCTTCAGCTCCAAGGTGGAGACTGTATTTCTTACTTTGGATCTGGGATCCAAATACTCCTCGAGATGGGGGTGGGGAAGACTAAGTCTTAGATGTAAGTGGTGTCAGAATCTCGGAATCTCAATTTGAGAAGAGGGAATAAAACTCAGGTTCGTGGGAAAGATCAAGTGTCCAGACCATCTGAGGCTTTATTGTATTACCCCAAGGTTCCCTCGGTACTCAGGATAATGCATGCATTACCGGGCAGGCAGAGGTGACCTCTGCTGCCAAGCTTCAACACATTGCAGGGTATTTTATAGGTACACAGGTACAGGGCAATTGACAGAATGCAGAGATTACAATAAGATTCTGAGGTCATCACATACAGAACAGATAAAGAAATGTCAATCACACAGTAACAATGAGATTACAATATTTCTAATTGCCTGTATTGACACTTTAGTTCTGTAGCTTGAACCCATCTCCAGGTCTGCTTAGACATGTAAATTCAAGCTACTGAAACTATGCATGAACTCAAGACTCTTATCTACTCTAGACATTCTGAATTGGCCAGGGCACATGAAGCCTCTATTTACAATGTAAATTTGGACTAAATGGCCTGTGTACTGTAGCTTACAGCTAAAGGTGAGAGAAAGGAGCGGGGAATGCCATTTTAAACAGTGACAGCTTGGTTTTGAAAAGGAAGACAGGATTTGATCCCACAATGCAAAAAGCACACAGAAGTAATGTTTTTCAGACAGGATTTATCCAAATTTTTCCAACAGTGGCCATAGAATTGCTCTGCCCAAGGACAAAACTGCACCGGGCACAGCTGTCACTTGTTCTTTCTTGATGCTTTTTTTAACACAGAGGTAACAAAGATGACTTTCAAAGTTGCTTATTTTCCATAAACTGCTGTGCAAAAACAGACTTCTAGAAGTTTTTGGCTTCCTTCTTATACATGATGTGCAAATATGTATTAGCCATTAGGTTTATATTCTCATTAATTTAGATTATATTGACACTTCATAGTATATCAGATAGTGCACCTGGAGTATATAAGGGGCTGCAATTTTTTAATTTGGTAAGCCAGTCGAGGCGTGTATGAACTTCTGCCCTCAAGACCTGTTCTGACAGCACCACTACCGAAAAGAGATTGGTGCAACTAGGGATGGACCTTGGCACCACAGCCCGGGTCCTGCAACCTGGGAGGGTACAACGGAAGGTACTGGAAGCAGCCCCCCTTGCAACTACGATGACACTTTGCTTTACCCTTAAAAAACTTTGCATGTGTTCAAAGTACTTTTTTAAAATCAGGTAAGCAGCTTTGCTGCTGGAACTGTTCTAACATATAAGTAAATAGAAGCCACGGTAAAGCACGGAATGACAAGGGCGGCGGGAAGGGGCAAAGAGAAATGTGTGCTTCTCAGCTTAAGAAACACCCACAGACATCTAAATGGGCCTCCCATAAACCCAGGATGAAAATCACTTAGACCACAATGCTAAGCACGCTTAGGCTGAAAAATGTACTGCAAGTCCCATTATTCCTCGCACAGTGGCAGGGCCTTCGGGCCTGCATTAGGATTGCGCTCTTAGCGGCAGGGCAGCTGGTGAGATATCCTCCAACTTGTTGAATCGCCAAACCTTTGCTAGCCAAAGGGCAACCGTCTCTGCGCCAAAGAGCTCTCTGCGCCCTCCTGCGCAGTATTAAGTGCGGAAGCGCGCAGAGGAAGGGAGAACCGGCGAGGTGAACCAGCGGCCGCCGTGCCCAGGTCAGCCGTCTCTTGGCGCGGCTCCAGCGTGCCCGCCCAGAGGCCCCTTCTCGCCTCTGACCTCCTGGGGGTGCTCGCCGCGCGCGCTGCCTGCCTGCCTGCCTGCCTGCCTCCCTCGCGGCGTGTTGCGGGGCGTGGGGGAAACAAATTTCCGGTTTTGCAACTCCTTTCGGCTCCTTCTGCACGCTCAGCTCAGGGTGTCTCCGGAGGAGACGCGCGGCGGAGAGCTCGGGCGTGCGGAGCAGCTTCCAGCCAAGCGGCTTGGAGAGGGGGAAGGAGGCAGGCAGGCAGGCAGGCAGGCAAACGGACAGAGATCTACGTTTGCCCTCGGAGACGGGATGGACCACCCCGGGCGGTGGTGGCTGCTGCTGCAACTCACGCTCACCGTGGCGCCCCGGGAAGGTAAGGGCGGGCTCGGGCTCGTCTTCGCGCTCGCCGCGGTCTGCCCCCCGGCCCTGGTCTTCCTTTTGTCTTGCGGCAGCAATGCAAAGGGGCTCGGGGTGGGAGGGGGCTGGCAAGCATTAGCTCTCAACCTGCTTCCCATCCCCGCCCCCTCTCCCCTGCTGCCTGCAGAGCGAGAGACTGGGGAGGAAAGGCACAAATGAAGGATGTTAACGTGCAGCGGGGCGAAGAAAGGTTTGGCTGAAGACCTGCTTTCCCGACGCGCTGCTTCCTCCCCGCTGCCCTCAGCCCCCGGTCCAACACTACTAACCAAATGGAAGCGACAGGAGCCCTGCCTTTTCCTAGGCACCCCTCCACGTTCGCCTGCACAAAGGGCAGGGTATTTCCCCGACATGTTTGCCCTCGAGCTTGTGGGGAGTGCTTCACTGGGACAGGTTAGGGGGCTGGTTTGAGTTCCGGAAGAAGCAGCTTTGCAGTTGCAGACAGTGCGAGTTGCCTGGCTGTGCTGTCACTCCTGTGCAACGTGCTGCGTATGTGTGTAGCAACGGTCTACTTGCTAAGGTCCGGGGTTGCACCCACACCTGGCTGTTTATCTGCTCTGTCGTGTCTCTGGTTGTAAAGCTGTGCATTTTTAAAAGAGGGATGGATGCTTGGCCCCAGCCTTGCAGGGTTGGCTGGAGGCCAAATCACAGCCTTCAGCTTATGTTCTTGTACCCTCAACTGACCTTGCTTGCAAGGCCAGTATTTTGTGTGTGGGGCTTTTTGGTGCTCATGTAGGGGGAAGTTTTGGGCTTTCTGTGTATGTATAACTTGGACGTGGGTAGTGTGCCAAGACAAGAGATCACTGCTGAGATCACTGAAAATTAAGTCAGTAATGCCCAGGAAATTGTGTTTTCAGGAGAGGATCTGCAAAGGTGCAGTGAAAACAGCAACTGAGCAAAAAGAGTATTTCAACTGTATTACAAAACTCATGTCCAGAGATGCAGTGTGTGTGTGTGTGTGTGTGTGTGTGTGTGTGTGTAAGAAATTTATTGCATTGCTCACCTTTTCTGGGGTGAGCCTACTTTGAACAGAGCTGTCTAGTCCAGGGGTGGATAACCATTTTCAGCCCATGGCTGAATGTCAGTCTGGGAAAGATCTTGGGAATCCGCAAGGTGGGTGAAGCAAAACTGTGGTGCATACCAATATGAGGCATACCCAGAAGCAAGCAAGGCACGGGCTGCATGTCTACTCAGAAGTAAGCAGTGCCGAATCACAACACAGCTTCCTCTCTGAGCCTGCTCCCTTTCATAGAAGGGAAGAGCTCTCATCTCCAGTCAGCTGCTGATTGGAAAAAAGAGCTTTCCCCTGTAGGCTTGGCAGGCTGGTTGGGCAACCCCATGGTCTGTGGGCAGGAGGTTCCCTGTACCTGTTCTAGTCCACTGAAGTGAGAGGAGAAACCCTTTCAGATATGGAAACTACTTCTATGAATGCTCAACAAATCTGTTTAAAGCAGAATAAAAGGAAATACTGGAGTCCACGAGACTCTATTTACCAGGCATTGTGTGAAAGAACGAGCGCTCTCTGGAGGACAGCTGGGCAAGTGGTGAGAAATGGAGCTGAGACCCTGGAGGACTAGGCTGAGAATCCATGAATGCCCTTTTTTCAACCACTGACATTTCTCTTAAGACACTTGGTGCCTCATAGGTGGGCCCACAGGTCTCATGCAGTTTAGAGAAGCAGCAGGAGCACAGATGGTTCAGAAAAAACAATTTCAGAGCCCAAAAGTAAGACAGGAATGATCCTCTCAGGATCAATTTTGAAGATGCCAGTTGCTTGTACAAAAAGGATTCACTGTTGAATTTGGCTTTTAGCCAAACTTTCCAAGCAGCAAGCTGTCTCTTAAGTTAACAGTTGCATATTTGACAATCATTACAGGCTGAAATATTAGATTGTACATTCTCTGAAATAACTGGTAGATTGCAAGTATATTCATTGGGTGGTCACAGTTTGGGAGGCTAAGTTGCCGGTGACCTTTTCTTGAGTCCCTGATGAGAAATAAATAAATAAATAAATAATAAACAATAAACCAAGCCTACTCCTTTTCTTAAGGGCCTTGGAACACAAGTGAACTTTGGTGGTTCTTCATGATAGGTCTCCAAATTTGTGTTTTAGAATCAGACCCCCTGGAGACCAGTGTAAACTGAACAGAGCGCAGTGTGATTGCAGGGATTGGATGAACACTGCATATATGTCCTTTTTGGAAAAATGCCAGGGCAGTGAGCCCCAAATGTGCCGTGCTGTCAAGCTAAGTAGTTCTTATATTACTAATGCACATCATCACCTCACTCTAATTAATTCTTTCAGGAACAGGAATTTCTTTATGCTTATGGAGCCCCCTTATCTGAAAGGGCTTTCACTTTACTGGCCTGGACAGTTCTAAATACACATGGGGATATTCATGTGGCTTCTATGTTTGACTGAATGGAATGCTTACAACTGCATGAGCTTTATTTTTGCTGCTGCAGATGTCTTGCTCCTGAACCTAACCCCCACCCCCAAAGTAAGTGCAAGTGACTAATGACTTCAGAGGGGCTTAAATACAAAGCCTTGTTTGCCTTGCACATTGGACTAATTGCTTTTTGAATATGGATTATTTACAAATCTGGTGGCTTTTTAAACATTAAAAGTATTTATGAAATCAGAGCATGGTCTTGGGCAAGTCACTGTTTCTTAGTTCCTTATCTGAAGACTATTTTTCACAAGGATGTTGCAAAAGCTCTGCTCCTTGACAGCTTCAGCCATCAGCCGGGGGACTAAGGGCCACTGGAAGGCTGCACTCCTATTTCTCAGGCACATCACCAAGCCTAGGGCGTCACCAGCCTGGCCCCTCCATCAACCAGATGCGTGTCCCCCTCCCTGTTGGAAAGAACACTTGAATTCCCCAACTACCTGTAGCTCTGGCACTGCAGAAGGAATGGCAGAGAATCCTCTGGCTCTCCAAACCAGCAAGAGTGTCATTCAAACAGCATCAGCAAAGCAAGATCAGCCTGGCCCAAACTGCATTTCAGTGCCTGCTTATTCTAGGACACTGCTTTGTCCTAGAATTGATCTTTGCCTTTCCTCTCCACTCTCCTTCCCTTTTAGGGCTTGTCATTTTAGCTTGTAAGCCAGGCTGGCAGAGGGAACCAGTCTTCTTGATTGATGTGAGAAGCTTCAGGAGAAACCAATTTTATGAAAAAATGTGATAAGAAGCAAATAAGTAAATAGTATAATTTTTTTACAAGCATCATAAACTGGCAAAATGTGTGGGTCTCTCTCACTTCGGTGATGCAAGGAGGGCAGGAAGCACTATGTAGTGGGACTGGAAGACCACTAGTGCCCTAGAAAAAAGGATGGGCTATTTATTTTTACCTGATTAAGAGAAGACAATCAATATGGCGCAAAGACAAGCATATTGCAGTTGATCTGAGCAGACATCCACCTTTCCCAGATGCTGCACAGTGACGGACGTGCATGTATGGCCCATTCTCCGTCCCCCAGAGAAAGCCAAGTGTCACAACACACACTGCCACACAGCCTGCTGCTGTATTTAGATAACTCAAAAACATGCTTGCAGGATATTAATCTGATAGCCATATTGGCTATCCTGTGTTGCTACTTTTGCTCATGGCTGTTTATTTTGTGCACCGCCTAGTTAAGCTTTTATCAGTGACATCACACATTTCTTCAAAACTCTTGAGAACTATGGCTTATGAGGAATGAGTGAGCATTCCTGCCAGATCACTGCATGCTGTCAGAGCATTCCTTCTTTATCCCTCCTGCAAGTGAAAAAAGCTAAAGTAATCAGGAACCTACTAGCAGAAGAAAGCTGAGTGTTCTGTCTGACCCAGATTCTGGCTTTTTCTCCTCTAACAGAATCCAAAACCCTCGCTCTAAACTAGCTTGTTAGAGGAGAGACAGGCCAGATTTGGACCTAACACTAAGCTTTCAATTGCTGGTAAGTTCCTGGTTATTTTAGCTGCTTTCAATTATGGGAGGAGCGATGTGGGAACAATCAGGCTGTGTGCAGAAACATGCTTGCATATTACGGACAAGCCAGAATTCTCATCAAATCCCCTAATATTAAGTTCCATTAAATATTTGCACCATCCTTGCCATGTTAGGTGCCTTTTGATCAGGGTGGATAAAAATCAGTGATTCTTTAAATTTTAATTTTTAAAACATTAACATGGATTGCTAAAATTTAAATTAGATTTTAAAAAAATACTTTATGAGGAACAACCTATCTAAAGATAGTTGTCTGTTTAAGAAACGTTATAGTCCAAAGGTTATTTGGACTGAAATAAGGTTCAGTTTTTAATTATGTAGCATGAGGCTGTATATTCATAAAATGTTTTAATTTTTTTGGTAAATAAAAAAAATCAATTATTCCATTCACAATGTCATGCTCTTCCAGAGGTTTCTGTAAGATTATTGGGCAGTTTTTTTTATCTAGAAGGTATTATTATGGATGATTGGCCTTGCAGTTCTCAGAACTGTGCATGTGTGTCTGCAGGGATCACATGCCTCTTCTTCATGTTATAAAATAAACATACAAAGTTGAGAAAAAGACCTTAATCCCATTGCTCCTTTGCAAATCTATGTACACAGAATCAACCCCTTAAGTGCTGAGTTTCAAAAAATCAATGAATAGAACAATATCGTTGGGAGTGGAATAGATCTGCACAAGAAGCTAAGTGTGAGGAGGGAGGGACAAGGCTTACAAATGAGAGTGAAACCTCCTGAGCAGAATACTCCACAAGTCTTCAGTTCTCTTTGTATATAGCCTGAGGTTTATCCTATTATTCTTTCCCTGGAGGAGGCAACCTATAATGGCAGCAGGCCATAATAGAGATGCAGTATGGAAATATTTTAATAATGTTCTTCTATCTACGGGTAAGGCAGGCATGTGTGCAAATTATGTTGAAAAGCATGATTTAAATCTAGTCTTACTGACTAATGATTTAAGTCAAATCCACCCATCCTACTTTTGATACAGTTAAGAGAAAGGAAGGTAGAAGGGAAGGTTTGACTAGAGGTATTCCAGAATTAGGTGGACTTCGAGGGATGATGGAGGACAGGAGAGCCTGGAGGAATGTTGTCCACGGGGTTGCGATGGGTTGGACACAACTTTGTGACTAACATAACATAATAATTCCAAAATTATGTGTACCTTCCATTTGTTGCCCAGTATGTGCTGAGTTAATGATTAGCTATTTTCAGTCTGGACTCTTAGATTCTCCCACTGCACCAATCAGTTCCTGCATAGCATCATCATTAAGTTAAAAAGAACCCATTTGGGGCTAAGAATAAAATTGGCCCAACCCAAAGGAAGCTGCTTACATAAACAGTTTCTTGCACGATTCAGCCCCCACACTTTTTGGAGCTCAGTGGCAAGTCCAGTGATCCATGACTTCATCCTATACTTGTTCCCTGCCCATTCATATTGTGGGCATCAGTGATTTAGAGGATCAGAATAGGTCTGTTATCTGCAGTCTTTTGCTTTGATTTTGCAAAAGATTAAAAAGGTATATACCCAGTCCCCTAGTTACAAACATCCAAGTTGAGAACAATCCCTACTTACAAAATGAGCAAACCTGAAAGTCCTGCCTTATCCTTAAGAGGCAAGTGGGTGCCCGTGGGTGGCAGGCAGCGAGTGCTGGGCAGCAGGGAAAGGAAGGAAGGAGGAAGGAAGGGACAAATAGGAAGGAGGGAAAAGGAAGGAGAAAGGAAAAAGTGGCAAGCAGTGATGTCAGAACTAGAAAGTGACTCCAGTAGTCACCCACCCAAGCAACACAATCAAATCCTGACTCTCCAGCACCAGGTCCATCCTCTCCAGCACCAGTCCCATCTCCATTATCATCCAGTTAAAAATGTTTTAATAAATAAATAAATAAATAAATAAATAATCTTTTTGCTGTTTTTTTCCTATTTTTTGATCTAAACTGGTTTAAGAACTGTTCTGTATACCTACACAGGTATATACAGATTCTCTCTCTCTTCTGTACCTGTAGTTACTTTATTCTTACTGTATTATTATTAAAATGCTGTATTGTGTTTTAAGATGTTTTAGTGTATATGAAAGTGTTTCGTAAGTGTTTTATATGCTTTTTCTGTACATGATCTGATGAATATACAAATTTGACTTAAAAGACAATCTCAGGAATGGAACTTGTTCTTCAACTGGGGATCAGGTGTATTTGTTTCCTGCACAACCAGTTTACTATCGAAGCATAAAGGATCTGGATGTTACAAGATGGGCATGTTAAGATAGCAACTTCATAACCTCTCAGTGTTTACATGAAGATCGTACTTTCTGTGCTGCAGAAACATCTAGCATGGACTGTCAGCATTTCAAAACACCTTGAGCTTTGGGGACGGATAGGAAAAGAGGAAGGTTGCTTCATTTGGGAAGTGCAAAACACCGTCTTAAAGACTAGCATGCTTATTGTGATTTGTCTTTTCATCGGCAGTGCAACTTCATCCTTTGCCACCTTTGATGCAACACTTAGGGGCAACCAAGGGTGCTTCCCAGGTGGGCATCTTTTAGTGCAGGGGCTCCAACTTGTCTGGAGCTGTGGGGCACATTTGCAAATTTGAAAGAGTTGCGTGGGCACCACCACAAACTGCTTAATCAGGGAATCAGTTTTTGTGTCTACTTGTGTCTGTGGGTTTGAGGCTGCATCATATTCAGCAAAAATGACTGCTTCCTGCAAAGTTTCTTCAATCGGGGACTGTCTAATTCAGCTAAGGGATGGCAGCGCAGTACAGGTCATGCTTCTTTTAAACATACATCTTAGCAGTGTCCAATAGTTGCCTCTTTTTTGGGGGGGGGGCATTCTTAGATATTTTACTAGAACGGCTTTTAATAATCGCTCATATTCATAATCTTTTAATTTACCTGCTTCGTGGAAGCTAACAAATGGTCAGTATAAATAGGTTTTCGGTGCCCTTTTGACAGCTAAAAGATTGATACGATAACATTGCAAGGATAACACCTCCTATAAAACAATGGAATAAGAACTTAACAGTGCTTTCAATATTCCAACAGGGTGGAATATAGTTGCCGGTTTCCATTGGGTTTGGATATGTGATCCACTTTTGTGGAAGCCTTTTGCTAGAAAGGTGTTGTGCATTTCATATAAACCCATGTGCATATATTAAAAGTGGAATTAAGAAACCAGATGTGCACTGGCCCCACACTGGGTATGTCTTCATTGGTGCCAGTGGGGATGCCTGGGGAGGCCCCATACTGCTAGTGCTACAACTCAAAAGATCTAAGGCAGCTATTCTGTTTTCCCCTCCTTAACAGAGGGGTCCGTGTGTGTATAACAGTGGTAGGAAAACATAGTAGGGGAACCAGTGTCAGATGACAATATCTGGGTAATTCCTCCCCCATAAATTTATGGAAATGACTCAGAGTGATTACACAATAAAAGCCTTGTCTGAAAGCAAGTGTATGTTGTGTATGTCTGTACTTCTATTGCAAAATTTGTAATTATTTTTATCTGTCAAGCCTTGGCAGGCAAGCACCCCTGATGTGGGTTTGTTTTTAGCTGGAAGCATTTTCAATGCCAGGAAGGCCATCTGGGATCACCCCAGCTGGGAATCTTCACTAAAAAAATAAGAAAGGGTACAGTGGGTGTCTAGAAGGAAAAAACAGTCTTCTGTCACAGGCTGTTTTTGGTTCTTTCTGTAGATATCCGCACAGGCATTCCACAGAGAGAGTATTCAAGTGGTCCAGGTGTGGAGACGCCTCTGTCCTCCTTGGATACTATAACTCAGGGTTGAGGCACAGTAGTACTTTTTCAGGGCAAAAGAGTGATTTCCTTGTGGCCAGCAAGACATAAAAGCCACAAGAGTGCTGAGGAGGGCACTTCTAGCGTAGTTTTCTCTCAGAGCCACCTGGAGTTTCCTTCAAAAGCAAGGTGGTGCTAATATCACCTGCCTGAACAGGTCTATAGAACAGAGTAAACTAGAATTAAGACATTTTGGGAGGTTTGGATTGTTGTCTCCTGAGGATATTCTGATGAAAAAGGGTACACAAATATTTTAAATCAGTCAAATTAGATTCATCTTTTTCAAAGGCTATAATCATATTTCTACTTAGCAACTGTGGAAAATTCCACCAGTTCTTGAGATAGGGATTATATTAGACTGTTAAAAAACTATACCTCTCATATTAAACAAAGGTATAGCCAAAATAAGATGTTGCTGTACATAATGAGAACTTCATGTGTTGTTAATATCAATAGGCTTTTCCTATTTAAGAAGCCAGCAAGGACTTAACCAATTGCTCCCCCCCCCCCCAATCAAAATTGTTGACAAAGGAAGCTGCACTTTAAAGAAATGGTGGTTGAGAAACTGATAAACCAAACTATTTTCTGCTAAATTAAAATTTAGGGATGTGGCGCAAGCTATACGAAATTCATTTGAATGCTCATTGTTTCAATGCAGGGCTTTGGGGCTACTAGATAGAACTCAGCTTTTTCTCACTGACCTGAGTGCAATTCATCCTAGCGGTCAACATCTAGGATTGCTCCCTGGCTGCTCTTTCTCTCCTCCCTCCACCTACTTGAAGCTGCAAGAATATTTACCAGTGGAGAGTTTTTAATCTGCATATATTCGAACATGAAAATACATAATAGTCTGTTCTGATTCCCTGAAAACATCAATGACCCTTGCAAACTATCATGCTATTATACCTTCATTGCTTGTAGTTCAGTTATGCTGGTTCTACAGGTGTGTTAGCCATGGGTCATGCCATCTTAATTCTGCAAATCAACATTTCATCTTAGTTGAAGAAATTCAAGCCATAGTACTTCCTATGACCCCTTTACATGTGAAAAACTCGGGCACCACTGCACAACAAAGAGCATTTACAAATCTCAGCCAGTGTGGTCAGACCAAATGGGATGAGGCCATCAACTACTCTATTATTTTTTTAATTTTTAAAGCTGGACAAGAACACCAGCAAGCAGGAATCTAGATGTGAATATTCTGAATTTGCACAACTGGAAATGGTCTATATTTTTTAAAATATTCTCCCACTAATCTGATATACTTCTTTTACTTTTCCTTCCTTGGGTCATGTCTAACTGATTGCACTGAGCTCAGCTTTGCATACATGAACTTTATACAAAATTTTAGCTCATGGAAGAAAAAGTATATTTTTCTATCATTGAACAACAGTTTTTCTGGATATTATTGTATGTGAAGGTAACTGCCCCCCTCCTCCCATAAAGATTTTGTGACTGTGCAGCTTTTGTATCCCTTGGTTTACTTTCTTGTAAAAGGGGAAAAGTAGTACTTCTCTTGGCATGACAAACCAGTTAGGTTGCATTCAATAAAAAAGACATTTTATAACATTACCCATTTTCTTCCTACACAGCACAGTCAACAACCTTAAAAATCACCACTCCTTACGCACTCTACATCTGCCCTGAAGGTCAAAGTGTCACCTTGACTTGTAAAGTCAGTGCATCTGAACACCATGGTCCCATTTACAGAATGTGGTACTTCAGCGACAAACGTGACCAGAGATGCTCTGAGAAGCAGCACATCCCCGGCAGTATGCATAAGGAGCCACATCATGAATCCGGGATGCACCACGGACCACCTGGTAGTAACAGCACTGCCAAGAAATATTTGCATGGGCAGCAAGCAAACCATCACGGACAGGCCTCTTCAAATCATCATGGGATATTCCATATTTCTATGGCAAACCTCACTCTACAGCACAGCGGGTTCTACTGCTGCTATGTGGCAGATGTGAGAAGGGAGCACGGCAAGGACCATGTCCAGCAACAGGCTCACAGTTCCATAGAACTTCGTGTACAGAAAGGCAGGTGAACTCTGTGTACAAGCCATCTGTTCATAAAATTATGCATCTTTTATATTCTTCTCATATTCTCTGAGAATTATGCAGGCAACCCTGGATAGAGTGCACTAGACTAAAGTTCACAGATGCAGACTACCACTTGGAAAAATAAAAAAAGGAAAATGTTTCAAATTAGTGGGGTGGCTGGTGTTTTGCAGCTGTGATGGTGAAAAGTGCTCCTCTCTCTTGTGGTTGTGTTGGGTTGTTAGTGAATTGGAGAAAGTGTTTGCCCATTCAGACTGAGAACAATGAAGAACCAGGAAACACTGCCCTCAATTCTAATTGACTTAATATAGTTGACTTAATATAATTGACTGGCATATAGTTAATTCAACTAGCTAGGGCCTATGTCATGACATACACATCGTTCCAGATTGGCTAATCAGTAGCAAATTACTGGGATTTTTTTTTTTTTTTTTTTGGCCACTGCTGCAGAAATCAGCAACTTGGTAGAAGTGCAACTTGCAAGGAAGTGGAACGGAAGGTGGGCCCAGCCATCCTAAGTTTGCCCACTCCAATAATATTCCATGGAAGTTGATGACTACATTCAATGCAGTAGTAGCAGACTGGGAAACCATTGCAGCAGTCTTGTATAACATGATTAAATTCCATGGTTGAAACCTGGTACCATAAAGGATACCATAAAGCATGAAAATTTGTCTGTATTTCTTCCTCTTTCTTTAAGAATTGGGATGCAGACTTTCTTTTGCACACTTACTTGGTAGATATTCCCATTAACATCAGTGTGAATTACTTTTAAGTAACTGTGCATAGGATCGTGGCATATCAGGCAGTGAATGAAGCCAAATCTAATAATCAAATCATCCTCAATCAGCCCATCTCTTTGGTCTCATCAGCCCATCTCCCTTTCCTCAGCTTTTCCCCAATCGCTATTTTGCTGCTTTCTCTGCTACTATATGGTGAATACTCAGTTGGGATGTGACCCAAATGGTTGTGGAAAAAAACTGCAGGGGGAGATGGGAAGAGTCTGCTCTGATCAGATCAGGATGGAAAATGGCAACTTTCTGTATTTTAATTACTGCAGTGGAAATCAGACATTTCCAGGGACACATTGTTGAATTATCCCTCTCCTCCACTCACCCCATTCCCATCTTTTGTGTATTTTCAGGGTACACTGCCTTCATAATAGGCAAAGAAATCATTTGTACAACTACTTGAACTATCATACTTTCCCTGGGGAACTGTCTAGGAAAATAAGGTGGAAAAATGTACTGTTACAGATAGAGCAAAATAAATCAAAATGGATTTCACCTTGTACCACTGGCCTTTTGCATTTGAGAACAGGAAGGTAAATTTCCTCTCAAAACAGAAATTAGAAAGCTCTGACACACCTATTTTGAATATTAAAAAATTGAAACAACAAGAACCCTAGGAAAAAAACCAAAACTTTATACACAGTTGGGCCTTTTTCACCAGAAAAAGTCACCTTAGGAGAGGGAAATGTTAGGTGGAGAAGTCACGGTGCTTAGCCCTTTTCCTGACAGCCCTGTTCCCCAAGAGGCTCTTCTCTTCATAAGCGTAAAATGTTTGTTTGGAATCTCTGAACTGGATAGGAAAGAACAGCTGTCTGTGTGTTCTTCAAAGTAAATGCCACTGTGCTTATTGGGGCTTACATCTAGTAAGTCAGCACAGGACTGCAGTGTGCCATTTGGATTAGCAGCAACAAGAAGGGGGGCTGGAGTCCTCATGTGCCTTGGAGAAACCTGGCTGGCACAGAACTAGGAAAGAGCAAGTGCTGGTATATCTACAGAGAAAACAACAGAATATTTCCTTCCCCTTCTTTCAATCATTTTAAATTTTAGAAATTTCCAGTACTTCGGGTTTGGCCTTTTTTGTAGGTACTGTGAATTGAGCAGGGTTTTTACATCTTGTTACTGAATGATACCTGAATGTCCAATAAACTGATGCTTTCTTTCTGTTTATTCACAGCAATAGGTACATTTCCAAACTGTACCTTACATCCTGCTGCCAGCACAGAGAGTGAAAGTAAGAATACTGTAATACATTCATAATGACTGTATTTTTTGAGGGACAATACATTCAAATAAAACTAATTTTCCATTTCCCACCCCACCCCCAGTAAATCTCATTATACATTCTATTATCAGTATTGTTGGGAGTTGGATTTCCCCTTATTTGTTTCAAGCAACAGACTATCTCTTTGCGAAATAGCTCTTCATTTCCAGTTCACAGCTAACAAACTACATCCACTGGAAGACCAGTGGCTGTGCATGAGGAAAGTGATTTGTTGAGCCCAAACTAGAAAGTACTTCCAGAAACCCTCCTGTCAGTAACTCTGGGTGGCCCCATCTGGAGAAGGGCTAGATCAGTGCAGGCCTTCTGATTGGGAAGCCCTTCTAACCCAATGCCTCATCATGCAGTCAAGGACCAGACTGGGCATGGGCTTGTCTTCCTCCTCTCCTTTGTGCTCTCCCTTCACTTCCAAAACCTGCCAGTTCCAGTCTGCCCGAGCACCTGGAGATGGCAGCCTTGAGAAAGCCTCATCATTTTCTGCCATCTCAATTCTCATACTCCTCGTTTCCCAGCCATCACAGTCTACATCGCAATCCTGACCCTGGAAAGTGCACCAAAAATAACCTTCTTGTCCGTTCCCAACTATTATCATTAATTTTACATTACATTTATACTACACTTTTTTTTCTCCTTGCAAGGACATCAAGTGGCTTACAATGGTCTTCTCTCCATTTTATCCTCACCACAAGAAACCTGTGAGGTAGTTTAGGCTGAGAGTGAGTGACTGGCCCAAAGTTACCCAGTGAGGGTTATATCCAAGTGGAGACTTTGAACTTAGTTCCTTCATGTCTCAGTCCGTCACTCTAACCATTACACCACTCTGGCTTTCTTCTAGTTGAATATTTGGAGAGTTAATGCTTTAAACATACTGTGGTAATTTTGTCTGGCACACTGAGGATGAAATCATTGAGCATCATGCCAACTTGAATGCAACTCATGGTATAATAGTTATGCACTGGCTAAGTTGTATGAGACCAGTTTCATTTTTTAGGCCTAAGGATGTGGACAAGAAGCTTGCCACCGTTGGGTCTGTAACTTCCTGTTCTCACTCTTGCCTACCTTGGCTTATTCAAGATAGCTGGAAAGGGTTGACTGAGTAGATTCAGGGGATGGTCAGTGCAACTTTGCACAGTGGAGTGGCATCTGCTGCTTACAGGAGGTAATGGAGGGTTCACTCATCAAAGAGCCTTCCCTGGACCCAGAATATTATACTAACTACCTTTTGGTCACTAATAGCCCTCCTTTGGACAGGTATAATGCTTCACCAATTGATTAATCAAATGTTTTGATTGTGTCACCTGTATGCTTACACTGGTTTCCGTTACACCTGGATGGACAACATGAACCCACTGAAAGACATCTGTAGAAAAGCAGATGTAACAGAAAAAGACTAGGTCGAACCCTTCCCACAGTTTCCCATTTTCCACATGTAGGAAATCTTTTTATGTATAGGAACAAACATACATGCATGGAACTCCCAACCTACACTCAGTCTAATACAGTTTTTTATTCTTGACTCAGCTGTTTATATAAAGCAAGCATGTAAGCATGCCCAGCTCTACATTCCACACAAATTTTGTAATGTTTTGGCACGTATTCTACCTACCAATTTGTCATCTCACATATTTCTTTGATTTGATCTACTAGCATCGTACATTTTTTTAAAATGTTAAAGACCAGTCAAAAACCAGAAAATCAAGAAGCTCCTCTACCATTGATTGGCTTGGCTAATTCTTTACTGGACATATATACTTGTTAGTTTGACCTCAATAATGTACCTGTTCTTCAAACAGAAGCAGCTGTTACCTGTGAAAGCTGCTTTTTCACTACATTTAGCTGCACTGAGTACATTCTACTTCCCTTCGCCCCACTCAGCCAGTTCATGTTATATAACATGTCTAATTTATAAACCCATTTAACCATTTCTACCTGTCTGTCTGTGATTTAGATACAATTTAATAACTGTAAATAGAAATATACTCCTGGTTTGATTTGCATCCAATTATCAGAATTGTATTTCACAGTGTTATTTGAATCTGCACAGCGGTAAAGTACAAGGCTGAAACACAGCTTGGCACACCAAGCTATACAGTGATAACACACCAGGAAGATGTGATCTAGCACGTGAAGCAAAGTGATTTGTGTGCTGCAAAATTTCATTAGCTTGTCCTGGATCTGAGCCAAAGGGCAATGAAACCAGTAATTGTCTTTTCATGGACTTCAGGACACTTTGGACAGAGTCCAATTTTTTGCTGCTCATGCATTTTCTTTTCTTCTTTAGGTACTAAACAAAAACTCCTCATTCCAGCATTTCCGAAGCTCAAGGAAATTTGGAATATTCTTCAGTCCATCACAGATTAGGGAGCAATTCTAACAGAGGGCATTCTAGGAGACAAGGGGTAGATTGGCTCTCCCTCCCTGCAGCTAAGTGAAGGATCCGCCCTGGCCCAGAACCCCTGCCACCCTTGCCTGCCCTTCAGTGGTGCGCAGAAGCAGCAGTAATGGCAGAAAGGGGTGTGCTGCGGTAGCGGAGCACAGCATGTCCCAGGAACAGGGCGTCCGAACTCCAGTCCCCACCTCCCCACCTGCCTTCTGCCCTTCTGGTACACATCCAGCCAGGCTTTGGATCAGGGGATTCCTTGGCCTCCGCTTCTCTTTCCCTCTGCAGGATTTGTTTTGCCTGGCTGATAACTTGGCCTAGGGGTTTTTTAAAACTGTCTTTAAGTTATTTTGCCCTAGTGAAGCTCAACAAACAAAGCACTATTCACATTAGCTGAGACAGCTAACATTGTATAACAAGTGGAATTTAACTTTCCTCAAGCAGTAAGAGGAAATGCTTTTCATGTTTTTACATTTAGATTTATAACCTTGTGTGTATCTGAGTTCACACGGTGACTTGATAATTCATTGGCTCAGTTTTAGTGAAAGCAAAACGTTTAGCTCCTTTTCTGCCTATAAAACATTTTTGCAAAATAATAATCACTGCATATATTGTAGACAATACTTTTTTTTCTTTTGTGGATCCAGTGTTTTTAAAGCTGCATAACAAGCAGAAATGCAACTGGCTGAGATATCACTGAGATTCACCTCAGGATACCATGTTCCCCTTTCTTCCCTTAATATGGCCACGTGATGAGAAGCTTCTGCTTCTGTTGCAGTTTCACCACAGTTTAGCATGTTGCCTGAACCCTAATCTGTTACTTAACTCTAGTTAGTGGAAACAACGCAGCTATATAAAGCACAGCTTGAATTATTGGTTTCCACTAGCCACAGTTAAGATTAACCACAGTTTCTCAGGTTTAGATCAAATGAGAAAACACAATTTTTTAAAAATGGAAGCAAAAGCTCTCTTTGGGGCCATGCCACAAGAGGCGGGAGAGTGGGGAATGTGCATAAAGCCAAAGCTTGGCTAGGCTAGACTTGTTCTTATTACACTAAATTATGGCTCAGTTTTCCATATGAACCAACTCAGGAGCACCATGTCAGGAACAGATTCACCTGTTACATTTCTGGCTGTCAGAAAACAACATGATGGCAACTGTACAACAATCCAGCAGGCATTATCATTATCAAAGATACTCAGGAGTATATTTAAATAATGTTTTTAAGTACACAAAACAATTTTTGCTGGAATAATGGGTATTTCAGCCTAGCAAAACAGAAAGGGACATTAAGTTGTTTTGAAGTTTTCAAATAATGATAATCTATTTTGTAATACAGAAATGCCATGCAATGGAGAAAGAAGCAACCCTTTAACATAAAGGATTTCTTTCTAATTAAGGACATTTGGGCTCCGTGTACACTGTATTTCACAATGAGATTCACAGTTAATAGCTACTGGGCTTTTTCTGAAAAGGTGCACCAAGTTTATGCAAGTATAATCTCCAGCAATGAAAATAATTTTCTGCTACTTAGCTAATTTTCGTATGTTTGTTTTGCTCTTTTGCAGGTATTACAGCAACTGCAGTTGCAACAGTGGCCTGCATTCTGGGCATTCTGTGCATGCCGCTCATCTTGCTCCTCATTTACAGGCAGAGACAAGCGATCACTAACAGGCGTATGTATTAAATGTGGCTCTTCTTTTCCTCCCCCATCTCCACTTGAAGTACAGGCTTACTACTAATCACAAATGGATGCACTTCTTTGCTTCTCCTCCTCTTTCACATGCAGAAATGCTGATAATACACAAATATTTGTGCATTACGCAAATGATACCTGGTTATTTCCAGTGGAATTATTACTGGAAAGCCATCTATTATTTTCAATAGCTATGATGCGGCACTGCTGGACCCTTGATTTCCCACAAATTGGAGCAAACAATAGGGTTTTGCAAAAGAAGACAGGTGAAGGGACTGGGGAAAACTTGCAGTTGTATCATCTTCTGCTGTTGCAGAGCTATTAAAAAGGGTGTAGGAACTCTGGATTTGAACTTGGTAATAATCCTAGACTGAAGTAAACATAATCAGGCTAACACAAATTATTTTAAAACATGTGCTGCATTGAGAGACTTATGCTCACAAACAAAAAGTTTCTATAAAGGTTCCATCGGGGATCTGCCAAGCTGCATTGCTGCTGGTATTTAAGGTCTCTCTCTCTCTATAGACAGACAGGCAGAATTCTGGCCTTCTGCTGATAAATCTTGTAGCTGGTTTTGTTGTTTTATTGCTGTTCTTACTGTTTTATTGTGCTTTGATCATTCTTAATAATGTATCAGTTTTATAACTGTACACCACCTTGGGAGAGTTTCTGCCCTGAAAGATGGCCAAGGCATACTTTAAAAAAATAAAATGTTGCCTGTGAGAAGCATGGGAAAACAGAACACTGCTCCTTATCCAGTAGTGGTTCTATTACCAAACTTACATTAAATAAAGCTAATATTTGTGTAAAGTCTGTTCTACCATTAATCTGTGTTATTTTGTCTTAAGTAGGAATTATTTTTATTAAAGGCCAACATTCCACATCTGTGTTTATCAGGCTGTTTTGTGTTCTGAATATGATTCCCCTTCCTATTTGTTATTACACATATTTTTGAAAATGAGTAATTGAGGAAAAAATTACAAAAGGGCAGGGCTGTTTAACGGAGCTGTACGATACGCATCAACATGTTGTAAACTGTGTTGGTGTGTGGCACAGTGCTCAGTCATTGATTAGATGGCATTAACAAACACCTTTGTAAAGCTGTGATACTAACACTTTCTGGGAAAACGTGACTTATTTTCTTCACCTTAAGTTGTGTTACATAGAACTGTGCCAGTACAAAGACAATATTATCTGTAGAACAACTTCTTCCTTAGCTTGGGTAGCATGATAATTTTGTCATACTGGAGGGCAAGTACCAAAATTATTTGTTAGGGAAGCTTAAAACTAAATATTGAACATGTAAATGTGAAACAAATACACAAACTTCCTCTTTTTTCGTCCACAGAAGTGCATAGTGTTTACTTTGATACCATGCACCACTCCTTTTCACAACCTTCAGCAGGCTTCCTGATGTATTAGACTACAACTCCCATTATCCTCAGCTAGCAGAGCCACTTATGAAGCTGGCTGGAGGCAATAGTGGGGGGTTACTCCAGCACATATGGGGGGCACCAAATTTGGGAAGGCTGATCTACATTGAAAGCTGTAGGTCAGAGAAGCCCAAAGCAACGATCCCATCCAGGCAGAGGGAAGTGAAACCTCCATATAGTAGAAACCTATCTCACCTGGAAAGTGAGGTTTGATTAGGTTCTGATCATATGTATAAATAAATGCACAACAGAGGTCTTGAGGTTATCACAATAGCTAAACACAATAGCTTCAGTACTTGAAATGGAAAATCCAGGAACAGCTTGTGCTCATGTTGCCAGTTATACTGGCAATGTTTCTTTTGTGCTTGGCAGCTCAGACAATGGAAAAACAAGAGGATCAGTGTTATGTGTAGCAAATTGTACCAGAATTTAGCTTTTGCTTATCCATATGTCTGTTCTCCTTGGGAGGAAAATACAGGGAAGGCTTCAACTCCAGGCTGCTGATAAACGGCTTTGCTCGGGTATCTGTTTGTCACATGGATTAATAATTTCCATGTTTATAGTCCAAATCACTGACCCAACAAGATTGAGACACAAAGCAAGGGAATTGGTTTCTTAGGAAAAGCAAAACAAACAGTATCTGAAGAAGAAATGGAAAGGGACTGCAAGTACTATGGCTGCTCCTGCTATCAGACTTGGATATAAAAGATCTGGCCTGAATTTAATAACTGACCTTTGGCATTTCTTCTGTGCCTGAAATTGTATGATCAGAATTTTGATATGAAATAGAACTACAGCTGGCACTCTTTACAGTGACTGCACTGTGTTTGTTTTGCAGGTGCTCATGAACTTGTCAGAATGGACAGGTAAGAAGTGCTGTTTACTGTGTATCACAGTTGGTTCCATAGTTGGGCTTATAAAACCCTCCATAAGTGTGACTGCAATAAATCAAGCATGGTTCGTACAACAATAAAACCACAAATGGCTGTGGTTTAACAGTGAATGGAACGCGCAGTGATAAAACCACAAACCAGATCAGGTCTTCCAAACCAGCAGGTGCTTAAAAAATCCAAACTAATGCAGCCATTGCTGCCTACCAAGATCAAGCCGCTATCTCAAACCTCTGCTTCCTAAAAGTTTTCAGAAAGGTTTGTGTCTCGAAACCCTCTCTAGACAGGCATGCAGCAGGGAAGGTGCCACTGATGAGAAGGCCCTGCTCCTTGCAGGTGGCAAAGTAATTTTCCTGGGTGTTTGTGGCAGAGCAAAGCCTCATCAAATGCCCTCAGATTGCTGACATAGTGGAAATACTTTGCATCAGCCGAGTTGCTCCTTGAGGCTCACAAGATGAGGCTTTAAAAGGCCAAACTGGACCTTGTAACAAACTGGCAACCAATCAGACATTGGCATTACATGTTCCATGTGCCACTGATACGAATTTGCCTACCAAATGCGTTTACCTACTGGTTAGCCACTGATACGAATTTGCCTACCAAATGCGTTTACCTACTGGTTAGGTTGATTATCCATCATTTATTTACATCGCAGAAGCATGGATCAGGCTGACAATGGATGTGGACTCTCTAAACTAGGCAGCAAAGCATTCCTGATATGAAATAAAGCTCAGCATACCCCTTTGTGCAGCAGGAAGCAATACACTCACCTCCTTTCCTCTGCTTTTCAGTTTGCATTTATGTTCCTGACTTTTACCCTGGAAGAGCTCAGGCTGGTTCCCATCTTCCCAAGCTACAAGACAAGCTAGCAGGCAGTGTTCTTTTGCTCCGCCTGCAAACAGCATTTTTGATTCCTTTTTAAATGAAAACGATTATTGCCCCTTTGTTTGAAAGTTGCACGACTGAAAGCATTAACCTTGTTCTTTGATCTGTTTGCCAATTTCACAGAAACTATATGCATAAAGAATGAACTGAATTTAGAAATAAGCATTGGTGCCATAACTGACATAAATGGAGAGCAATTAGTTACTTTAGCTTTAAGAAAAGCATATTTTATAGTGTTACAAACATGACTTTTTTTTTTTAAAGAGTATTTTGAACAAAAATAGGCCTTACTGGCTTGCAGCTGACTCAGTTGTTAGTCAGCACTGAAATTATCATGCATTAAAACATGAAAACATATCAGAACTTCTCTTCTCCTCCCCCTGATCGAAGGCACAAATAGCAGGATTATAAAGGCATATTTACAGTGTTGTGACATTTTCTATCAGGGTGATGGGAGGCAGGGAGAGGAGCATGACTTGACTCTGGCTTGCTTAGTCTGACTGTGCTTTCTCTTCCAGCAATGCCCGTGGCATTGAGAACCCGGTCTTTGATGCTGACCCTGCTGTTCATGCAGAACCCAAGCCCAGGCCCCAGTTAACATACATGGTGAGCCGCCTGCTATCCGATTCAGGCCGGCACCTTCTCTCAGAACCAAATACTCCAGTTTCACCCCCAGTCCCAGGAGACTGTTTCTTCCCATCACTGGGTAAGTCACTGACTTGTGTGTCACTTGTCTGTCCATTAGCAGTCAGTGAATTTATATGTATACTCCGTGTTGGTGGAATACGTTCTCATAAAAATGGGTCCAACTGCCGGTCCCTGTGGCTGCATCGGGTGGGGAACCCTTGCCTTCCACATCTAGCTGGACTACAATGCCCAACATACCTGGCCACTGACCAGAGTGGCTAGAAAACAGCTGGAGGACTAGCTTGTGTTTTTCTTGTCTAAGCAGAAGTAGGCAGCAGCTTCTGCAATTCCCGCCCACTGAGGTTGTCTGTCTTTACTTAAGCATATTGGGTAGCTATCAACCTGGTACCAACTGAGAAGCCAGACTGAATTCCTCTGGTGTTGGCAGGATCAGAGGGTGAAGTTTGAATATTTTCCTAACCTCTTATGTAGGATGGTGTCAGTAGATTCTCAGAAGGATAGCTGCATTCCTCTGCTGCAGAGGAAGTACAAATCTGTCTTGTGTTACACCTTAAATACTGACACTTTTAGTATGGCATTGGTATTCATAGACAAGACGCTACTTCACCAAATGCATGAAACAGTAAGTTGGCAGGTAACCTCTTCATCTATCCCCCAAAACTGGGTATGTATGTGGCTGTATCTACATATCTATATTCATATTCATATAAGTATCTGCCAACAGCTGTTCATCATCCAGAGAGTTTCGGCTACTGAGCAGTATAGAAACAAACCTAGTACAACATTTTATGCACAGTGGGGTCTAGTTCACAAAAACAGATGCCACAATACACTGCATGCAATACCTTGTGCTTCATAGCTTTTACTGAGCTTAGACTCCAGCAAAAGACTTGTGGAGGGCTCTGTCTACTAGCTGTGAGGCATATAGTAGAAGGCAATATCTGTTCCTGCTTACTCGGGGTGGGCAGCCTGTGGCCTTCCAAAGATTTGGGCCTAAGGATTGGAATAGCTGGTATAGATGTCTGTACCGGCTTATGGGAAAGGAAGGCCAACACATTTGGATGGCTGACAGATGCCTATTCCTGTCATTCACTTAGGCCATTTTTCTTTGCAGCTAAGTGGCCAGTGGGAAAGAGTGGGCTTAACTCATAGCAACAGATGCAACTAAATAGTTCTGCAGCCACCAAGAGTCAAAGGAGGATATATTAACCATGTTAATAAATAAAAAATGCTTATGTATTTTAGAACCTGTTCCTGATTCACCAAACTTGATGGATGTATCAGAAAATTTTCCAGGAAGACCTTTGCACTGAATCTTTGACAGCAACATAGACAAAGTTTTGCTTGCTGCTTTAAAAGAAAAACTGAAAAAAGGAAATAGAGAAAGTGAAAAGAAAAGAGAAAAAATGGAAGAGAAGAAACACTTTGTAAGAACTATTTCTAAGAGGGAAGGAAATGGCATAATTTTTATGTGGCACCTGACTTGATGCTTGTCCTAACATTTCAATATATGTGCCTTTGATTTCCTCTGAAAGGTTTAAATGCAGAAAATATGTTCTGGAGGACACTGAGGTTCTGAAGCCTTAAAGGATTCTGATGGATTTTTCATTACTTCACAGAGCTGTAAACAATTTGATGAACAATTACTGAAACAAGTTAAAGAGTTGCATGGTTTCACTGCACCAAAGTTGTGTGCAGGACTGGAGGAAAGATGAGATTTCTTAATTGTTACTGGAGAGTAGAGGGATCATGGTTGTGAATCCACCACCAAAAGCCTTAAAACTGAACAGGGTTCTAACAGATCTCCCTGTACTCTGAATGCCTTGCCCCTTCACAATATAGGACAGGTTTAAAAATCTTGCTATGTATGTCTTTACACATATTACACTGTATATGTTATTTTACATCTGCACCATTTGAGTGCTTCAGCATAGCAACAACTTGTATCTGAGCTTCGAAAGACTGCATGTAACATGAAAAAGTCCTAATACTTTTCCTTCTTTCTTTCATAGACTGTCGTATCAGTTTTAGGAAGAATGGCTCTGAACCAGATTTGATTATTCAGTTTGTTGATTGTTCTTTGGCTGCTTGTGGAGGAGCTTGGTGTAGCAAATGACTGGGGAAGTACAAGCATGGAAGGGTATCAAAAATTGGGGTGTAATGCTAAATCTACCCATCTAAAACCACAAAACTGATTATAGAATATTCAGACCTAGGTTAGAGATGAATATAAGTTGTAGATTTTGGAATAAACCCAGAACTGGACAGTTCTGACTTTTAATCTGACCTGAATACAGTGCTTCAGTTGAACCCAATTTCTGTAAGAAATGTAGTGGATATCTTCCAGAGAGGATGCACATGCAAATGCACTTCAGGTGACTTAATCTGGTTTCACAGCCCATTGAGCCACATACAAGGCCCCAAATACAAAGCACAAGGTAATGCAAGACGTCTGGGGCCCTTTGACCTATTATGCCCAGGATACACGGGATTGTCAGTCCACTGTACGCACTTCAACATGATGCCTCCAGGTCATTTCTTTAGCCTTCCTCATCCCCTTTTTCCTTTTGTCATGTCTTTTAGATCGTGAACCTGTGGCCAGGTACTGCCTTATTTTTACTGATCTTATTTGTGCTGCTCTGGGTCCTTCTTGGTTGAAGAGTGGGATAAAAATGCTTTCAGTAAAGAGAGAGAACCCCCACATAACCCTAACAGCTGAAGTTAACGGATTTTGTGAATATTAGGCTAAGCAGCCAGTCAGAAAGGCCTTCTGCATGGTCCTCATGGCAAGGTGATTTCAGTATGATGAGGTAGGGATATATTTCAAGTGGTGTGGGAATTTATTCTATAAGATCAACAAAGCAATAAACGTTAGTGCAGAACATCAAATTGGCTGTTCCTGAGATATGTAGCTCTGGATTGTATGTAAATGTTATCACCTATTTGGGAAGAATACAAGAGATCATTTACCCAGTGGTACTTACCACTGTGTGTCCAATTATTGGGAAATCCATCTGAAACTATTAAGGAGAAATTTACCATTCTCCTGCTTCCCTAGATATTATGATCAAGCACAGAAGAGTTATAAAAGATTCACTATACAACTTGGAAGAACAATACAGAAGAGTAAGTTGCCAAGTTGTCTGTGTTCTGTGGCATTGTCTTTTTAGGTAAATACTCTTCTCTATTAACTCTTTGAAAGATTTCAGAACATACCGGATAAAAATTGAGCGTACAGATTCTCCAGCATTAAAAGGATATTTAAGTGGCCCCGTGGTTAAGAAAAAGAATGTAGGAACAAGGGAAACAGACTTATTAGTGAAGTGGGTGAAGACGTCATTCCTTTAAAATTGCTCCTGTCTTGTTCGCGCATGTGTATTTAAGTATATGCATGCACGGAAGAGTAAAGCTGGTGACTGTTCTATGTGCATGTGTCAACTGTTCTGTCAGCCACTCTAAATGTGTTTATATTTGTTTTTAAAAGGATGTGATAGTAGCATCAAGTTTCGTTGTGGTCATTTTCCTCTTGTAACAGAAAGATGTTATGGGTGATGCTTAGTAAACCTTCTGGTCAGGTCCATGAACTGGTGACTTCAATGTGTACAGCTACAGATTGAGTCATACGAACACATAAAGTTTCCTTATACTAAATAGCCTAAAATACAGAATATGCAAAATCAAGTATGCTGGACAACATAACATTTCATCCATGGAGCACTCCTAACCAAATTTCATTGATATAACAATGCTGCATTGTGGAAATTCACATGCTGCTTCCCATATAAGCAAATTAGGTCGACATATGCTATATATGCTTACTCTGGAGTAGGTTCCATTGAACTTTGTGAGGCCCCTGAGTAGGCATGTATAGGATTGTATTACTACTCTCAATGTCTTGTTCTGGCAACAGGACTATTACATAATTCACTTCAGGTTTTGAACCTTTATTAAAGGAGGGATAAGAAAGCTCAGATCTGCAAGCTAGTAAACTATTTGATTCTGCACTCAGTCTGGCAAGCCTATATATGCACAACTGTCTGTAGGAAGGAAGGATAATATGCAGAAATGGCATCTTCACATAAAATGGATTTTGTATAAGCTAGAGTATATCTGAGATAATCTTCTAATAAACAAAATGATTTAGAATGTTTGGTATTTATATAACTGAGGATACGTTTTGTAAAATCAATAAGCTGTAACAACGCTGAACTGGTTACTAAACTGAAGTAAAGAGATCCTAGAAAGTTACTTGCTGCCTTGGTAAGCATCTCTTAAAGAAAAGTACTAAGTCAGGATAAACATCTGCAGCAATACCGAAGAGACTCAGTGACCTCTAATTCTTGGCCCCCTACTTGCTGCCGTGATTAAAGCACTTAAGAAGAACAGCAAGCAAGAGCACACGAATTATATGCCAATTATTAGGTGCCGTTGCCTCAAATGGCATTATGCATTTGAGTCTAATACTTGGATACAAATAATAGTGCAATACTTAATGAATGCTGTAGTTGACACCATTTGCAATCCTGAACAGTTTCTAGGCAGTAAGCTGCATCGAACACCCTGAGACTTACTTCTGAGTAAACATGTATTGGACTGTGATGCCAGCCAGTCTGGACTAGTACAGATCATGGGGTTTTCTTAGTCTTAGTCTGGATCAGGTATATGGAATCTGTACTCATAATGATAAAAAAACCATCTCAATCTACATCCAAATACAGAAGCTGGTAACATATTTTCTATTTGGAAAGACAGACACTTGTGTCTCCATAGTACAGTGGTACCTTGGCTCATGAACTTAATCCGTTCCATGACTGGTCGCGACCCAAATTGGTCGTGAGCCAAGTCAAATTTCCCCAAGTCAAATTTCCCCATAAGGTTCAATGTAAATAAGGTTAATCTGTTCTGTAACTATTTTTTTTAATCCGAAAAATATGAAGCAAAGTGACAACAACAAAGATCACAGCCATCTCCCCCTTAGCATGACCACGACCACACCCATCTTCCCTGCATGAGTGCGACCACGGCCATAGACATGCGTGATCGCGGACATAGATGGGAGCGATTGCAGCCACGCTCGGGCAGGGAGGACAGTCACGGCCATCTCCCCCACGCCCGAGCACAATTGTTGCCATCTCCCCCCCCCCCAGCACAACCGCGATTGCACCCATGCAGGGAAGGCGGGCACGATCGCAATTGTCATCGGATGCGGAGTTCGCGACTTGTGGCAAAATGTTTATGAAATTTCTGTTCACGACCCAATTTGGTTGTGAACTGAGGCGTTCGTGAGCCGAGGTACGACTGTACCTGTATGTGACCATTCCTGGTAATTTACATTGTCTGTTGAGTTGTTCATCTATAAGGATGTAGCGCTATCTTATGAAAACAAGATATCCTTTAAAGAAATAAAAACCAACTAACAGCTCAACACAGGAAGTATATACAGCAAGAAGCTCTACATTTAATATTTAAATACATATTTGCATGCAACACCATGCAAAGCCATTAGCATGTGGACAAACACAAACATAGACTACTTCCTGTGGTTTTTAAGCAAAGCAAAGGAAAAAAGCACAGGGTTGATATTCCTCATGAGTGAAACCAGGATTTCGTGCTATTAAAGATGCACAAATGTAGAGAAGCAAATGTTTACTTCAAAATGTTCTATGCCGCTAGTCAAACCAACCAGTGGAAATCAGCCAAGCATCCCAGCAGGCTTACACCTAATCCAAGTACACAGGTGAATGGATGCATGTCTGATTTAGAGCGAAAACAGCTGCAGGGCAGGGCAGCCGCCCAGCCTATGTTTTCAGCACCAGATGGGAACATGAAATGGGGGATGGGCAGTTTGAGTGAGAGTCTGAAACCACAAACCGAGCTAAATCCGACATGAAACAAGGCAGCTGTCCCAGGTCCAGTGGAGGGATATGACTTACCATGACTGTAAGTCCATTTTTTGTGTCGACGATAATAGTTCAAACAGCCATTATTACTAGGATAAAGCAGTTACGAACTGCTCAGAAAACTTCGGCAGTGTAAAGATGTAATAACTAAATTGTTACGGTCCACTCAGGTAATGCAAACAGCAACTGGGACAAAGATGCTTTACAGTGGGATGCCCTTCTCTGTGCAAGCTTGTACAGTCCTACAGCAGTGAGCTACCAAAATATATAATCATGTGTTGACACATTTCTTATGTATGCAGAGACTTGGCAGGAAGAGCTGCAATGCACTGCTGCTGATTGGTAGAAGAAAACTCTTAAAATGTGTAGAAAACACAACAACGATAAATAAAGAGAAAAAAATAAGACTCCCCTCCCTAGGACTCAACATCTGAGTATCCAAATAAAAGCCCTACTTTCCTCTAACCTCTAATGTGAAGAAGCATGGCAAAATTGGTAAAAGATTAAGGGGAGATCAGAATGTTGTCCTACAGAGAATGAATCAGTGGTAAGTCCCTGTTTCTTTTTGTTTCAGTGGAGAAGGACATTCATTAATGCAATGTGAAATACCAGTGAACTCACATCCTGGGCGCAGCTCTGCCTTTATTTCACAGGACCTGTGAAATATGGACCTAGCACATGCCTGTCAAAAGCAATTTCCATTCATGTGCGTATAATGTTGTAATAGTACAGCAAAGTGGAGGCAGATGCTAAGATGGTAGCTTTGCAGTTAACATCTCCTGAACTAGTATACAGATTAGGAGCTGCCACAGTAATTGTGATTTTGACTGAATTAGTTTTAATTCAGTCTGGAAGTGGCCCACCCCACTAGTATTCTGGGGAAATGCATTCTTTTATTTAACTCCTTCAGGTAGGTTTGGGTGGTTGTTATTGTCTTGTTTTTTGTAATGGAAGATTCCTTAAAGGAAATAAGCACAGAGTCTGTAAACCTACTGCACTGTGTATGTCAAATAAACTTGAATGCTCTCGTATTTGCTGTATATTTTCTTTCAGGCATTTTACTGGGCCAGAAGGACAGAAAAGAGCAAGGATCAACTGACCTTGGGAATAAAGAATGGCTCTGTGTGGAAGGTTTTCTATTTTTATAGAAAACACAAAGCGCATTCATGAATGACAATGCTTATAGTTTCTTCTAGCAAAGATGACAGCACCATGAAAAAGCTTAAAAATGAGGAAGTTTAGAAATGCTGATTTAATGGGCCCAAATACAATAGTAACTTGGTTTCCACAACATAAACAAGCCATGGTGGGTTGTTATATTGTGTGAAGCCAGACAGCTTCCAGGAGGGTGGCTTGTTTGAGGGTTCCTCACCCTCCAGAGCAGGTCTGAGGGGACATGGGGGAGCTGCAGGGTGGAGGAAAAAGTCGATCTGTTAGCAGAAGGAATGCTGCTAAGGGAAAAACACTGTTGGATAAAAACCCTATGCCTCCCCTCTCTAGTTTCATTTCCTCACATTTATTTGTTTATTAAATTTATATCTCAGCTTTCTGCTAAAATGATGCAAGCTAGCAACAATACCAATACAATGAAAGTGGAACATCAAAACTAAATAATGCAGCAATAAAAGATACAAAGAGCTTGCCAACCACTTACAACCATCTTCAGAAACATACCAGCTTATATGTCAAAAGCCTACTTGAATAAAAACCATATTTGCCTGCTAGCAGAAGGACAACAAAAAGGGAGCCAACTTGGCTTTCTTTGGCTGGGAGTTCAAGATTGGAAGTGACCACTGAAAAGGCTCTGAAACATCTTAAAACCTGGTCTTAAAACCTGGAGATCTTCAAATATGAACTAGCTCAGAGGAGAATGCAGCCTTTCAAATAGCCAAGTCCTATAAGGCTTTATAAGTCACAACCAGCAATTGATAGCCAGAGATGCAGTTTTGACACAAGAGTCACATACTCCGTATCGCCAACCTTGGTCAATAATCTGCTGTATTCTGCACCAGCTGAAGCTTCTAAACACTCTGCAAAGGTAGCCCTGCTCTGAGCCTATTAAAGCACTCCAAATAAGATGTATTTAGACATAGCCAGATCCAACATTTGAAGGAATAAGCATAGTTTGCACAACATCCTTAGCTATGCAAAGTAGTCCTGGCTACTGCAGATAACCTAGAAATTCAGGAGTGAATCCAGGAGCACATCCAATATGAACCTGAGTCTTCACATTCAAGAGGATTACACTGCATTCCAAGACAGGTTGAAGGCCTTATTCCCTGATCTGCTTTTTCACAGACTAGGAGCTTTACTGACTTGCTTGGTTTAAACTTCAATTTGTTTGCCCTCATCCAGGCCAGTACTGATGTCAGGCACTGATGCAGAACCTGAACTTGTTTGGAAAGGAGAGGCAGAAGTGGTTGTGATGGGCATATTGGTGACGCTGAGCCTCACACTCTGGATGTCCTCTCAAGTAGTGTACAGAAGCATGGAGGGCCAGAAGGAAGCATGAAGCCAACAGTCAAGTTGTCAAACCGACTGTTATAGAAGTTCCCTTGTGCCACCTTCTATAACCTCCCCTTCAAGGAGGAGTGCGATAGGGAATGTAGAGCCCACCCTTGCCAGGCAATCCAGAAGGATACCATGGTTAATTGCATCAGAGGCCTTTCTATGTAACACTAAATCATTGATTAGCATTACATGTAGATGTTGTGCCTGACGGTGGTGGTGGTGGGGAATCCATACCTGTACCTCTGGAAGTAGATGGGGAGGAGAAAACCATTAAAGGAAAGGATGACAGAGTATTGATGGGAGTTGATTCCATAAAAAAAAAATCTAAATGGGCTCTCATATTTGGAAATGATACCTATTTTCCCTGCTTTATAAAGACCCAGAAAAGTGCTCTTAACACACAGAAAGGAAACTAGGGGATCATGACTTGTCTAAACAACCTGTAAATAACCATGAATAAGGAATCACGAGAGCACAGTAAATGACTCATGTAGAAAGCTCTACGAGTAGTGCAAAATAGCACATTTACTACTGTGCTACACATTAGATATGCTAGTGTCCATCTTGTTTAAATGGGAAACATTACTTTCGCATCCTTTTTGTCAGCTCCATCCAATCCTGTCCATTTTCTGGGCCAATATTACTGGTCTTTTTGTTGAAAGGGAGAGGGAGAGGAGGAAAGTCATGCTCAGCATCCTTATTTCTGTGACTATATCTGAATGCAAGGGAGCATGACTCACGGCACTCATGGAAGACTCCTGCCCATTATGTTGGCCCAGGACAGCGTGACTTTGGGGGCCAGGCTGAACATCTGTAACCAGCCTGAACAAACCATGTATAAAACTGACAGCATATTTATGTAATGTATGTGTAAGAGCTTGGTTTGCTCCATTTCCAAGTTCTGACCAGCAATACAATCTGGAATTTGTGAATACAGACTGTAACTACAGAGTATAACTAATGAGTTGCTCATTATCATTGTAAGGATGTGTATGTGGTAGCTCAGAAGATCTTGTTGTTCAGTACTGATGAATTACAGGCTGAATTTAGTGAAGTTGCTATCCTAGCCTAACATTTTCAAAATCAAGGTTCTAGTTTCAGTCCCAGATGCAGTCAGGCAAATCTTTCATGCTCAGTTGTCATGGGAAGACCTTGTCCTAACATGACTCTATTAATGTTTCTGAAGGGCACTGCCAACCATAAAGTGTAGTGTAACATATCTCACACCTACCGAGAGGGCTGGGTTGCCTTCATCCTCCACTGTGACCACCAACTGGTAGAACTGTTGTCTCTCACGGTCAGGAGGGGAAGGGCGAGTGGCGATTTCTCCAGTCACTCTGTCCATCCGGAAGGTCAATTCTTCATTCCCATGCGTGATGTAATAGGAGAGGACACTGTTGAGACCACTGTCCCTGTCAGTTGCTCGAACCTGAGCCACTGCCGTACCTCCTCCGACATTCTGTGGGTACATGAAGGACAGAATGTGGAAAGAAATGAAAATTTGCTTGGAATTTTTATTCAGAAATATTATCAAGTACAAAATATCAGCTTGATTGGCATCTAAATTCTATCCATTTGAGCTGTAATCCTAAGCATGATTAGACAGAAAAATGTTCTACAGCTATTATTTATTGAATTATGACACTTGTATGCTGCTTTATAACCCAAGGGCTATTTAGCAAAACAACAATGGGAAAGAGAATAAAATCAGCAAATTTGAGAATAATTAGAGAATAAAAATTATTTTATTCTTTGTTATAAAAACTAATAGATGGCATGGGAACAGGAGACATTTGACATGACAAGTAAAAGCAAGCAGTAAAAAAAGATATGGTTAAACTATAAAATTATTCTAAAAACAAGTACAAAATAGAAATGTCCTCACCTGGCAATGGAAACTGAGCAATGAGGATGCCAGTCATGCCCCCTTAGGAAGGACATTCCGGAGATGAGGCACGATAACTGAAAAAGCTCTATTTCTTGTTATAGCCCCTGTTACTTTGGGGGGGGGGGCTTGCACAGAAGGACATTCATAGAAGATCATAAGGGTCTGGTAGGTATATGGAGACAGGTGTTCCTTCAGATATCCCAGTCTCAAGCCAGAAGGGAAATGCTGGGAGTTGTAGTACATTTTTCTGTCTAAACATATATAGGATTGCATCTTCCATTAATTTAGTAATAAATAAAAAGCAGGCAACTTGACCAAGGCACTACTATCTACGATGCCTTTCACCCGGAATGTTCTCACTCAAGCGGCTGTACACATGCTACCAAACCTGGTGCATCTACAGGAAGGGATATACTGAGATTAGAAGCAGATCTTCCTTGTGTGCAAACAACTTTCATTAAAGGGAGGAGAGAGAGTGCAGAAAACTAGCAACCAGAGAAACTTACCTCGTTAATGCTAACGTTGTAGCCATATGGGTTTGTGATCACTGGTGGGTTATCATTAACATCCAATATATTAACTCTTAAAGTGTGCTCCTTCCTGCGAGGTGGGACACCTCTGTCAGCTGCTTGAATCTAGAAAGTAGCAAAAGGAAAGATCATAGCCTCAGTCAACATTCTTCAGCTAAGGCAATGACAGAGCCTATTCTGCTCCTCTTTATTATTTATTTATTTATTTACTTATTTAAAACATTTCTATGCTGCCCCATTCGCTGAAGCCTCGGGGCAGCTCACAACATAAATTAAAATATAATACATTAAAAATATAAAACAAATTAACAATGTAAAAAATAAGTTGCCCTGGCCAGATAAAATAAGCAAATAATATTAACAATTAAAATGACGTTTAAATAAAAAGGTCTTCACCTGGCGCCGAAAAACAAATAATGACGGTGCCAGGTGGACCTCTTTGGGGAGCGCATTCCATAGATTGGGCGCCACCGCAGAGAAAGCCCTCCTCTGAGTACCTACCCTCCTAATTTCTTTCACGGCGGGTTCCCGGAGAAGGACCTCTCCCGCAGATCTCAAGGGGCAGGCGGGCATATATGGAGATAAGCGCTCCTTCAGGTAACCAGGACCCAAGCCGTTTAGGGCTTTATAGGTCATCACCAACACCTTGAATTGGGCCCGGACTTCAATGGGAAGCCAGTGAAGCTGACGGAGGACTGGAGTCATGTGAACATAATGCCCAGTCGCCGTCAGCAGCCTGGCAGCTCTGTTTTGAACCAATTGAAGTATCCAGACCATCTTCAAGGGTAGCCCCACGTAGAGTGCGTTACAGAAGTCAAGTCAGGAAGTCACCAACGCGTGCGTCACTGTCACCAGGCAGTCGTACTCCAGGTAGGAGTGCAGCTGATGGATCAGCCGAAGCTGAAGGAAAGCGCTCCTCGCCACTGCTGTCACCTGAGCTTCCAATGAAAGCTCTGGGTCGAGGAGCACTCCTAGGCTGCGAACCTTGCCCCTAAGAGGGAGTGCAACCCCATTCAGGACTAGGTTCAATTCACCCTCTCCGAAGCCCGATCCGCCGACCAACAGGACCTCCGTCTTGTCTGGATTGAGCTTCAGTTTATTGGCCCTCATTTAGCCCATTACCTCGGCCAGGCACCAGTTCAGTACAGCCACTGCCTCACCTGGATTGGTGGAAAATGAGAGGTAGAGCTGGGTATCATCAGCGTACTGATGATTTCACAGCCCACACCTCCTGATGACCTCTCCCAGCGGTTTCATGTAGATATTAAACAGCAAAGGGGACAAAATGGACCCCTGCGGTACTCCATGGCATAGCTGCCATGGTGCAGAGCCATAGTCCCCCAGCACCACCTTCTGGAATCGGCCATTGAGATAGGAGTGGAACCACTGCAAAGCAATGCCTCTGACCCCCAATCCCGCTAGCCTATCCAGAAGGATACCATGGTCGATGGTATCGAAAGCCGCTGAGAGGTCCAGGAGAACCAACAGGAACGCACTCCCCCTGTCCTTCTCCCTGCACAGGTCATCGTACAGGGCGACCAAGGCAGATTCAGTGCCGTACCCGGGTCTGAAGCCAGACTGAAATGGGTCCAGATAATCAGTTTCATCCAAGAGAGCTTGGAGTTGTCCCACCACCACCTGCTCCAACACCTTGCCCAGAAAAGGGATGTTGGCCACTGGTCTATAATTAGTGGCCATCTCTGGATCCAGTGATGCTTCAGGACCGGTCGGACTACTGCCTCCTTTAAAGGGGCAGGCACCTGACCCTCCCTCAGAGAAGCATTAACCACTTCCAAGATCCAGATCCCAATCCCGTTCTTGGAATTATTTATTAACCAAGATGGGCAAGGGTCCAATAGGCAAGTGGTGGGACGTACTCGTCCAAGCTCCTTGTCCACATCATCAGGCCGCAATAACTGAAATTCATCCATTAATTTTGGACCAGACAGCAGCACTGGTGTCTCCCCAGAAACTTCTGATTCACTAATGGTGTCTAGCTCGTGACGAATCTGAGCGATTTTCTCCCTGAAATGCATGGCAAAGTCGTCACAGCGGGCCTTTGAGGGTGGAACCAGATCTTTCTTAGGACCTGGACGAACCAGGCCTTGCACCACTCAAAAAAGCTCCGCCAGACGGCATTTTGAGGAGGCAATGGAAACGGAAAAGAAACTCTTTTTCGTTACCCTCACTGCCACACCACCTTCTTTGCCTGAAGAGGTGTGCACTGACCCCAACAATCAATGCTGATTCTGATTCAACACCTTAAACAATGGTGTAAATTAACAAGGGCTCATCTGGAGGCCTTTCTTTTTGTGCTAGATACCATTGCCATGCACATGCTAGATCCCGTGGACTGCAAAGAGATCAAATCAGTCAATCCCAAAGGAAATCAACCCTGACTGCTCTTTAGAAGGCCAGATACTGAAGATGAAACTCGAATACTTTGGCCACCCAATGAGAAGGAAGGACTCATTGGAGAAGACCCTGATGCTGGGAACAATTGATGGCAAAAGGAGAAGGGGATGGCAGAGCATGAGGTGGCTAGATGGGGTCACTGGGGCAGTGGGTGTGAGCTTGAGTGGACTCCAAGGGATGGTGGAGGACAGGGAGGCCTGGAGGAATGTTGTCCATGGGGTCGTGATGGGTCGGGCACGACTTTGCGACTAACAACAACCACTGCCAAACAGATTCAGAAATTCAAAGTCTTATGCCTCTCATTGACTACCATGGAAATCAAAACAACAACAAAAAGTTAAAAGTTCCTTTCCTATTTGTCAGAACTGAATGACATTTATAGTTGTAGCTCTACAGTAGTCTTTTAGTTGGATATATTTATTTATTATCAACCCTGCCAAGATATTCAGAATGATGTCTGCAGTGGGGTGGGATGCTGGGCAAGGCCTGACTTGATATTTTGAGGGTTATCTAAGAAGTCATGGTTGTGGTCCTTGATAGACAGCCTAGTGGTGTCCAATTTGGAAATATGAAAAGTTTCAGAAGCATAGGGGTAGGGTTCATGTGCAAAAAATGAACAAGAAAGGTCTATTTTTATTTTTATTTGGAGGGATGAGCGATTCACTTCCCCATCCCTCCCTTTGAATTGCTTTGGGCAATTAATATGAAAATTTCAGACATAACTGGGATTTCTTCATGGAAGAAGCCTGCAACATTTCAGGTTTTTAAATCTGTTTTTAAGTTTTCTCTTTATGACATTAGAAGGATGGCCATCTTACGGTCCCATCCTTATACTCCCCCATCTCAACTATATTGGCTGTACTGCTTGATCTAGTGTGAACAACTGAAAGAAAGAGAAGACAGCAAGAATAGTTATTGAACTTCAGTAGAACCTCCCACAAAGCACAGGAATCAGCCCAATTTCAGTTCTGGTAACTTCGGAGGAAAGTTTGTGCTGCATTGGTCTGAAGTGGCCCAATTCTGCTGAGACTTCAGGCTTCAACCAAATGCAGTGCTCATCCCGAGTTCCATTTTGTCTCCATTCCTCCCTTTCTGTCCTTTTATCAGTCAAGCTGGCTAGATCTTGACTAATGAATTAACTGCATGCCATCCTTCGCTAGCGTGCATTCTTGATAGTGTTCTGAGTGGAATTACAGAATCTCTAGACAACAGCAAAATAGATAACAATGTTTTGTTTGTGCAGATTTAGCGAATGGGTAATAAAACTTCAATAGCTGACATCTCCCACTTACCTTTAAGGTGTAGTGCTCTATCAGTTCTCGGTCCAATGGTCTGGCCACAAACACTTCCCCATATGTGTTGTTGGTTGTACGGATCTCAAAGGCTCTGCCTAGGTTTCCTGATACTAGAGAAAAAACAACCTGTAGCCAGAAGGAAGGAAGGAAGACAACATAATAGTAGTACAATGATGGATAAAAGGATTAAAGGAAATTAAAAGCATCATGTTCTGTTGCATATTAGAAAAACAAAATTGTGTTGTATCATAAGTGCTAAAACTGACAGTCACATATCTGGTGTTTGATGGAACCAGATTCCTGAGAACTGAGTCTACAAATGGAACGTTAAAGAAGCCAAACCTCGTTCTAGTTCTAGGTCAGGCTCTATTTACTGTTTTAAGTAAAGGATAAGGACGCAAATGGTCATGGCATCTCACAGTATCACACGTTGAATTAACTATGGTCAGCATAACCACCATACATAATGGGCTGCTGAAGAGCAAACTCTGTCCCCATCTATACATTTAACGGAAATGTGGGATTTGTGATTCATTGGATGTGAGGGCAAATGTGCACACAGGACTAAAAAAGTATTGACAAATTTTTATGGCATGTCAGTAGAAAATTCATGGATGATGAGGTGCAGGGGAACCTCACGAAGGGCTAATGGTTGTTCTGAGTGAAGAAACATTTTCCACTTGAATATTTTAAACCAGGGGTCCTCAAGCTTTTTCACCTGGGAGCCAGTTGAAAGCCGCCGGTGCTGGGTGAAGGCTGGAAAGGTGGAGCAGGCAGTGTGTGCGGGCTGGCGCAGGGCTGGCGCATGTGGGCACATGTGCTGAGGTGGGGGTGGGGCAAGGGGAGGCGAGGTGGGCACATGAGGCAGCGGCTTGCCCGCTTGGAGATCGTTTTCTCCGAGTGAGCAAACCACTGCCTCTCCACGCGCAGGGCAAGGTGGGCGGCGGGTCCAAATGGGCATGGAGAGCCGGATAAATGGGCATGGTGGGCTGGATCCGGCCCCTGGGCCGTAGTTTGAGGACCCATGTTTTAAACCATGGCTACATTAATACCCATACAACTTCCCCAGGTTTTTAGTAGAAACTGCAACCCATTTTCAAATTTTTAATTCAACAATGAAGATAGAACCTTTAAATACACATCCACCCACGTTCAAATTCCATGGTGAATCCTTCCCCGCAGAGGATTGCCAGATGTCTTTGTATGTAAAACTCCAGATATTTTGTCAAAAGCAACTACAACTACAACTACAAAGAAGTATGGTGGAAATCATGTAAATGGAAAATGAACAAGTAACTTGTGAATCCTTCTTGACACTGGTGCATAAATTACTTAACAGCACACAATGAGTTCACTATACATCGAAAATGAAACCCATGAAAGCAGCTTTTGTCTTATTAAGAATGAATGTTTTGGGAAGTTCCTAGCAGATGATTAATTCAGGTAGCAAATTAAAAAAAGAAAAACCCTCTACTCCACCTTAAATACAGAATGTTTCCTGTTTAATACTGAGAACACTTCCTTTTGGTACATTGGGGAGATGAGAAACACACGGGTACTTCTTTTTCAGGTTTTTGAGGTCCACTGATGCATCTGTCAGCTGTTAAGAGTTTCTTGACACCAAAGGAAGTTGTTTTACATATTTTTTCCCTTACACAACCACCTGCTTAGTCATTGCTGTAAGTTATGTTTAGAAGTAGCCCCCTGACCTTGCATAGAAGTCCTATTGCTAAAGTTTAGGACCTTTCAGACAAATTCATATGTTGCAAAAAACTGAAAGCAAAAAGAGGAAGTGGTGCTTATAATGTAAGACTCACAGATCTCTCGCAGAAAACTTGTAGCGCTGTTGTTTGCCAGCAATCAAAACAAGCGGTAGTAATACAATGGGCATGCATTTCTATATATTCCCCTCTAGCTGGGAACATGTGAATTGGCCCTACAGAAGAAGCAGTGTCTGTACAGACATGCACTGAGCCACCAGTAGAATAAACTTGCCTTTTCATTATACTTGAGCTTTGTAATTGCCAAGAAAGGGGAGTGAAAAAAAGGATACATTTACTGTTTCTGTTGGTGTCTTCCATGAACCAAGCCTCCATCTTGCCTGGCTCAGCAGAGAAGATGCATAAAAGGCACCTCAGAACATCAACACCAATTAATTAGCAGGTGTTGGCTATCAAAGAATAGAACAAGGCCGGCGTTCCAAGACCTATCTAGCTTATGTGCCAGTGGGAATCTGCCAGCCCTCCTTGATTCATCAGTAAGTTGCTTAGATACAGTTGGACCTGCGAAGGTGAGAAGCTTTCAGATTGCAGGCCTTCATAGCATCAGCAGCAAAGAATGTATTACTAGGTGCTTAGCCCAGCCCCCTTTGGACTCTGACATCTCACAGGCAGCTTTGCTGACCACCCATTCCAGTTGATTTAAGCTTATTCATAGATTCATAGAATAGTAGGGTCAGAAGGGGCCAAGAAGGCCATCGGGTCCAACCCATGGAGGTGCTGGATGCCAAGTCACACCATCCCAGTCAGAGAACATCCAATTTTGTCTTGAATGTCTCTAGTGCAGGAGGGCCCACGGCCTCTCTTGGCAACTGGTTCCAGCGCTGTATTGCTCTGGAGGAAGTTTTTTTCCTGTGTCTAGTGTACACCTGGTGCACTGTCGCTTCAGATCATTGTTCTGTGTCCTGCACTCAGGGATGAGTGCGGTCTTTTCCTTCCTCTTGGTGGCAGCCTTTGAGGTACTTGTAGAGGTCTATCATATCCCCTCATAATCTTATTTTCTTGAGGCTAAACAGGCCCAGCTCGTTCAGCCTCTCATCATACGGCTTTGTTTCCAGGCCTTGGATCATCTTGGCCTCCTCTGAACTCTTTCTACATTTTGTGCATCTTTTTTAAACCTGGGTGCCCAGAACTGAACACAGTATTCCAAGCGAGGTCTGACTAGTTCAGAGTAAAGGGGAATGAGCACTTCCCTTTTTCTGGAAGTGATTCCTATATTTATGCATTCCAAAACAGGGTTTGCCTTCTTTGTGGCTGCATCACATTGCTGGCTCCTATGTGACTTGCTGTCCTCCAGGGTCTTCAGTGCTGTTGAGCCAAGTATCCCCCACTTCGTATTGATGCATTTGGTGTCCCCTCACCCCCCAAAGGTGGAGAACTTGGCATGTGTCCCTGTTGAATTTCATTCTCTTGTTTTCTGCCTAGGGTTTTAGGATTTTCTTTTTGTCTTCCAGGTTGTTACAGTAGCTATTCCACCCGGTTTTGTGTTGTCTGCAAATTTAATTATCATTCCCTGGACTTCCTCATCTAGATCATTAATACAGATGTTGCAGGGTGCTTGTCCCAGGACTGAGCCCTGTGGCAGCCCACTCGTAGCATCTCTCAAGGCTGAGAAGGTGCAGTTGATGAACAGACTCTCTGTTACCTATTTTGCAGCCAGTTGTGGATCCACCTATCTAGTACTTCTGTCAAGCCCACATTTTGCTAATGTATTTACCTGTCCAGTGTATGCTGTGTGTTGTAAGTAACCTGCTGCTGAACAGTTTTGAAAACTTGTATTGTGTGCACAATAAAGACCTTTCCTCCTTGTAAGTAAACCTGGATCTTGCATATCATTTCCTTGGAATCTCAAAGAACTCTGCAGGGGGCTGAGAGGGGCAATACACCTATAAGGTGCCAGCAATACAGTGGTACCTCAGTTCACGAACACCTCAGTTCACAAACAGAAATTTAGGAAAAAAATTTCCTCAGGTTGTGAACTCTGCATCGGGCAACGATCGTGATCGTGCCCGTCTTCCCTGCATGGGCATGACTGCGGCTATGCTCGGGTGGGGAGTGATGCCCACAATCGCGCCCACCTCACCCCCACCCCGATCATGCCAGCGATCGCACCCGTCTTCCCTGTGATTTAAAAAAATAGTTACAGAATAAATTAACCTTATTTACATTGAACCTTATGGGGAAATTTGACTTGGCTCACGACCAATTTGAGTCGTGACCAGTTGTGGAACAGATTAAGGTCATGAGTCAAGGTACCACTGTAAACCTGATTTTGCTTCATCTATTAAACATTTCTTCAAACACTGCGACATGTTTACATTCAAAATACAAACCTTGCAATCTTTTGGAGCATCTCCTAATCTCAATGGCACTCAGAAATCTTAACAGAGATAATTTCATATCTATTTTTAATCCGAATTTCCCCCTTTAATGTGTTTGATTAACAGGTGCATGGAGGAGCTAGCTTTCCATGTGTGGTAGCTGTAGAAATCAACAGGTGCCTCAGGCCAGCACTCTGTTCTCTGATGCCCTGCCTATGCAAGACAAGAGATCGCTTGAGGGGTACCACAAGAGCACTGTATTCTGCATCAGTCTGTGCAGCTTCCTTCACATTATTTCTGTGACCTTGTGCAGTGTACACATCTATTTGGAAAGAGTCATGAGTTTAATCCAAACAGGAAGCATGCAGTAAGAATGAAACCAAGTTAACATAACAATTAGAGGAAGAAAACCAACTTTAGAAAACATAGTGCACATACATATGTGCAGAATACATTCTGCAGATTTGTACTGTTATTCTTCAGATATTTTCTACAAAAATTAGGCTTTCCTTATTGCCAGTCCCATGCAGAAATCATTAACAATCTAAAGTGGAAATAAGCTGAATTTGCAGCTACACAATCATGGGAAAACTCTGAGGAAGAAAAGCAGGATATAAATGTACAGTGATAATAGTAATAAGAATACCTGCCCGTTGCTTCCTGCATCAGGATCCCTGGCCAAAACCAGAGCAATCCGGCGTCCAACAGAACTGTCTTCTGCTACAGTCACGAATGAGTCAGAAGTAATGTCAAATTGTGGGCTGTTGTCATTCTGATCCAATACTGTGATTGTAACCTGTCCAGTGAGAGGGGAGATGTGAGTAAGAATTTCCACACAGTGGATAGGGGTCAGGGGACCATGAAATAGATTGCAGTCGGCTAACGTTTTGCACAATCAGAACAAAACATCATTTACTATCAGATTTAGCAAAGAAATCTAGCCTGGAATGGTAAGCAGGTTTTATACCTGAAGGTTCCATGAGGATTCTAACGTTCTCTACAAGACTGACAGAGACACCCCCAAAAGTGACTATTCCAGGATTCCTAGGGATTCAATAATGGTAGTTAACTCCAGTATAAAAACTAGTATCAGGCACAACCTGCTTGCCTTTTCCACAAATTTACTTTGCTTGGAGGATGCAACTCAAGGGTAGACCTTTCATCTATCTCAAAAAGTAGAGAGACCTTGGACTGAACAACCAGGAAGCTGCAAGACTTTCATATAGTTGTAAGAATAGTGGCCCGATCTAGAGTATGTTTAGTCAGAAGCACACCCCTCCCATCCAAAAAGGTTTACTTCAAGTGTGCACATTAATCTGAGCATGTCAAGGCAGTCTGAAGCTAAGTTTGCCCATTTTTACTAATACCCACAGATATAAAGACCTCAGCTGCAGTCATGAGTTCAGAATCACCCTGCCAGTATTTTCAAGCTGTGTTTTCTGCCTTTAGCTAAAGGAAACGCTTTCATGTCTAAAAATAACTTTATATGCAAACACAATAGACAAAGGCAGAGAGAGAGAGGAAGATGCTTTCATGTTTGAGTTTTGAGTTACCTGGCTAAAGGCTTCAGGTGCAGCATTAAAGAAAGGCTGGGCTGCTGTCTTGCCTTTTTTCTTCTCTTCGACTCCGAGTGATTTTTATTCTTGCAGCAAAGTAAGAAACAACCAGTGCAAAAGAGGAGATATGCTTCTCTGCTTCAACTACAGGCAGCTGAAGCTGCTAAAATGAGTGGCCGCTCGCACAAACATATCTCCTCTAACCCACCTGAAATTTCTCCCAGAGTTGTCTATCTCACAGGCTCCTTTCCATCGTAATAACCCAACCTTTTCCAGATGTCCTCATTATACTTTTGCATATTCCAGTGCTGTGCCTGAAACCAGGTTTTGAAGGCTTAGCCCTCCGCAGATTGAAGTAAGGACACTGGAGATGACAGAACTGAGCTTGTGAAACTATTGAACTTTTCTGAAAAAAGCCCAATTGCAGATTCTAGTATTCTAGAATAACCATCGCAATGAGTGGACAACAAAAACTCAGAGGAAAAATGATAATCTGCTGCCAGCACCCCCAGTCCCAACCCTCAGGAAAGAGGAAGTCCTAGAAGATTTTATGGGGTATATATCCCCTTTTCCCATGGCGGAAAATGGCCATACCTAGAATACTTCCCAGAGCTCTTATTTGTTTAGTTTAAGTCTCCTGGAACTGTGCGGACTGCCTGACAAAACAGAACAACCATCTATTTTAATGGCATTCAAAATTCTTGTATGTCTATTTGAAAGCAACTCTGGTTCTCTGCACAGCTGAGGAATAGCCCCAACTGCTAGGTAATACTAAAGCTTGCATAGCCCCATCCAATAAATGACATACGTTCCCTTACGCACTGTGCATCCCTTGTTATACTAACTGCGAAAATGTCTGGTGGCAGCTGCTTGTGTGAAAACCATCAGAAAATATCAAAAGCGGTGACAAACAAGGGAGAGTGACCAAAATGGAAAAATAAACACTCTTACCTTCTGTTGAAGGGAAGCACAAAATGGCACATGGAGAGGAGAAAAGAAGAATGGTTGTTTATTAGATTTTTGTCCTTTAAAACAAAGTCGTCTGAATGTAATGTTTTGGGGAATTTTGGTTGAGAATCACTGACATAAGTACAATGCAGAAATGACAGAGGTAAACTCCATCCACACTCTTTTGCTATTGTTTTACTAGTACCCCTCGGTCATCCAAGATACAGGGCCTCATTGACTGTTTTGTGTCTCTTGACCAACCCCTAGTTGAATACTGAATAATACTTGCAAATAGTAGTGCACTCCCACCAAGAAAACACCTGCATTTACTTCTGATACCCCCTCTGGAAACTGCTATTTGCTGGGAAGGAAAGTGCCTTTAATATCACTGGTATTTTGGCCCCCAGTCACGCAATGTTCCACTGTACCATTCCCTTCACATATTCCTGCTCTACAGGCAAGGGTCAGTCCCACGATGCGTTGGCAGCTGTCCCAGTACAATTCATCTGACATTTTTTCCCCAAAAACATGAAGGGAGAAAGCAGAGCAGAGCAGAACATGGTGGAGGTGAAGAAGAACTTTGAAGGCTGGCAGTGTCATTCTTTGCAGGCTTATTCTGATGTAAGTGTTCCAACCTACATTTTTTTCAATCCACATTATTTGTAGCACAAGTGTTTTCATGAAGTGGATGGGACATACATGGAAACAAATAATTTTTAAAAAATCTTATTTGACTGGAAAGTGTACAGGTAAATAGATTCTACTCTGACAACCTACTGTAGTCATTATTGGCATATTAATTTGTGTTCTATACTGTCATTCATTAAAAATCTCATGGTGGTTTATGAATTTAAAAAAACAAATCAGCAATAAAACAATGAAAAACTCCTTAGAGTCAGTACATGATGATAGAATAATTAACATTTTAAAAACTGGGCAAATAAAAAGGTTTTAGCCTGCTGCCGGAATGAATAAAGCATCAGTTCCAGGTGCTACTCTCTGGGAAGCAAGTTCCACCATCAATGTGCTATAGCAGAAAAGGCCCTTCTGCTTTTGCTAGTCCTCCTTACATCTTTCAAGGAGGACTTCTGCAGATGATTTCAAGGTCTGGGCGGGCTCATACAGAAGGAGATGTTCCCTTGGATAACCAGGCCCTAAATAGTTCAGGGCTTCATATGTCACCATTAAATCAGGCCCAGACGTCAATTGGTAGCCAGTGTAGCTGATATAGGACAGCTGTAATATGTTCTCATTGACTGGTCTCTGTCAGCAATCTGGCAGCCCTGTTTTGAACCAATTGCAAACTACTGCCTGGGGAATCCACAGCTTAGAAAAACTGTGGACTGTCTTCAAGGGCAGCCCCACGTAAAGCGTGTTACATTAGTTCAAACAGGAGGTTACCTGTGCATGAGTTACTGTTGCTATATATACAGAAGTAAAGCAAACTTGGAGTTCTAAAAATTTCAAAGAAACCTACATGGCAAGGCTGGAAAGGAAAACAGACAGCATCTACTATTCAGTGGCCTGAAGAGCTTAATGCTCTTGCTGTATTTGAATATAAATCTTACAGCTGTCAATTTTACCCAGATGCTTATTTAGACATGTGGTCTGCTTATACTAACACATACATTTGAAAAATAGTGTCCACACTTTTTTGTTTATTGTTGTTTCATTCTAACATTCACAATGATTGGATATGGTTTAATAAATGGTTTAATAAATAAATAAATAAAATACGCTTATATTTTTGTTTTTCTTATGTTCTTGTTATTGGTATTATTTCCCTTTCTTTGTTTTGTTAAAACTGAAAACAACAACAAACAAAACTAGCTTTCCCCTGTCTGAATACTGCGTTACATGAAATACACACATTACTTAGGCTGATGAGACAAATATGGTGGGAATGGGAAGAATGTTTGTCCGTCTTGCGAAATATCTGTTAAAGCTAGAGAAGCTAATTCATTTCTGAAAATCACTAACTGAAACATTTCAGATGCTAAGACTATGTTCCACACTAGATTTTGTTAAATCTGTCTTTCCTGTGTTTCAAAGATTGCCATGTGTCTTTTATTCCATCAGTTGCTCACTGATACCATCAAATATTCTGTATGACAACCTTGCTCATTTGTAAACATGCCAGTGCGCCTTTGTGCAAATCCCTCCCAAAATTAACGAACAGACAAATGAACAACTACTGCCTGGGGAATCCACAGCTTATTAAAACTGCCCCGCTGTAGAAACTGCAGGCTGGATTCACAGAAATTTGATCTAGTCTGTATCCATTGCAGATCTCCTTGACCTCACTATTCAGGAATGGTATGTAAAGTTTTAGCATGGAAAGAATCGTATAGGATAGAACAATAAAAGAGAAGGATGAATTCAGTCACTGTTTTGTTCATACTGCCCAAGAATAGTCGTGGGAAAGATCCTTCTTCATCACAGAGTGTCTTTCCCTGGACTTTCTATGACTTCTAGGACCTTCCTGGGTGATGAGCCTTTTTAAGTGCAAAGGAAAAACCCCCTCACACATATATATTAAAATAAAGCAAGGCTACATTTTCTTGAAATTTGCCCATCCCAAGAGGAGGCAAAGTTGTTCTTTCTCTGAGGATAAACAGTTCCACAAAAATAATTTTGGCATAGCACTAGAAAATCACAGCTAGCTTGGAAAAAATACGCAGTGCAAGATTATCTTACCACAGAAAAGTCAAAGGGTTACAGCAAAAATAGCTCACCACAGTTGAATCAAGCTTTGGGCCTCCATCATCTGCCACAACAGTTAAGGTGTAGAAATCTCCCTTCTCTCGATCTACTTGTCCTTTGACGGTGATTATGCCCTGCCAGGAAGAAGCAAGCTCATGAAGGCCACAGACTCCCCATTTCAGGGTATGACCTCAGATTAAGTGGCCCACCAGTGAAGTACTTACAGTGATTCCATTTATTTTGAACAAAGACAGAGCTTGGGGATTAGTATTGGGGTCAAACTTGTATGTGATTTGGTTAAGGTTGTCAATGGAGCGGGCCTGGACCCGCAGCACTTCAGAACCCAGTGCGATGTTCTCTGTGATGATGGCTTCGTAAGTGACGTTTGAGAACTGCACGGCCTCATCTAGTTCATTGAGGAGGCTGACGTAGACACTGCAGAAGCCTTGATTTTGGGGTGGTGCTTGATCTGTGGCCGAGACATTCATCAGGTAGCTGGTTTTTGTCTCATAATCCAGATAGTCAATTGTGGTAATGAGGCCAGTGCTCTCATCAATTTCAAATTTCCCTTCGGAGCCTGAGATGATTTTATAATTCACCAGACCTCCATTTCCTAAGGAGAGAAAAACAAATTTAGGAGTTGTGTTTAGGAGTAAACTAGGGTCCAAAGGAAAATCAGTCTGGATTGATTGGGAACCCAAACACATATTTGATGTTTACACAACAACTCAGAAAGATCAGCAACTTCACTTCACCATATAGGTCCCATAAACTTTGGAAACCAGTTTCCCATTTCTATATAACATACCGCCACTCTAATTTTCTATACTGTTGAGCCCTGCTCAATGCCAAAATGCTGCCTGGGCAAATAAGATGCAATATACAGAGTGCAGCAGAAATACCTCCCCCATTTTAAACTTTCACCTATGTGTTGCTAATGAACTTCTGCAACTGCCAATGATGTCTTCATTTAGCTAATAACTTTCCTTTTTTCATATACCCACATCTAGCAATATGGTTTGGACTGGTACACAGCGTGCTTTTGCTGTAGAAACGTTTTTGAAGAATGGTGAATCTGTAATTGCAACACAGAGCTAACTTTTTGAACTCATTACATGTTAGGTCAAAATGCTGTTCCGGATAGAAAAACAATACTGCTATGGGTTGCAAATTTCAGAGCCACAGGTTCAGCACTTAAAAGAAAGCCACCTGGAAGACCTTGAAGCGCTGGAACTCCAACAAGTGTTCAAGCTGTGAGACTTTCTGTTACTCAGTCTCCTACACGTTCAACTCGTAAACAAGCTTCTGCCTTGGGATTGTCTGACTCTATTTTTCTGAGGAGAGAAACCACTCGGTTACAGTAACATCTGACCGGTATGTGGAGATGCTGCAGACATTTCTGGAACCAAAAGTAAACAACCTTCACAATCAGGATGTGTGGTTTCAGCAAGATGGAGCCACTGCGCACACAGCAAGATGCTCAGTGGAAGCTCTGAGGAAATGTTTCTAGGACGTTTGATTTCCTTACGCTGTGACAATGAATGGCCTGCACGCTCGCCTGATCTCAACCCTTGTATTTTTTTCTCTGGGGTTACTTGAAAGCAGAAGTCTACAAACATTGATCAGGTACCATTGAAGAATTAAAGGATGCTATTGGTCAAAAGATTGCAGAAATACCACCTGGAATGACTCTTTGAGTGATGGAAAACTACAGAAATCATCTACAACAGTGTATAGTGAATAGAGGCCACCATTTGGAGGATGTAATTTTTAAAACCAAATGAATAAAAACTGTTTAAACAATAGTGAAATTAATTTTAATAAATGTTGTTTCTTTTTCCTTTTTTTAACCTTTAAATTTTGGAAGGTATTTCTGCCACACTCTGTACCTTCAGTGACTGCATGACACGCCATCTTTTCCCCTGTAGACAAGTTTTCTTTTAGATGGCCCAACTGAGTTATCCTGGAAAAAAAGCCACATGTTCTTGCCCTTGTTTCCCACTCATCTGGACCATTCATCGAAGTGACTGGAATAGATGGTTTATACCCTGTGATCACCATGTATGGATGTGAAAGCTGGACAGTGAAGAAAGCTGACAAGAAGAAAATTCGTGTGTTCAAAACATGGTGCTGGAGGAGAGCTTTGCAAATACGCTGGACTGACAGAAAGACAGACAAGAGGGTTCTAGCTCTAATCAAGCCAGAACATTTCCTGGAAGCAAAACTGAGGCTGTCATACTTTGGACACATTGTAAGAAGGCAAGACTTGCTGGAGAAAACAGTCATGTTAGGGCAAGTCGAAGCAGAAGACGAAAAGGAAGACCAAATGTGAGGAGGAGAGAATCCATAAAGAAAGCCACAGCTTTGTACTTGGAACTTCTGAACAGAGGTGTCCTGGGACAGTGTTGTCATAAGTTGGAGACAATTTGATGGCGTATAACACACACACACACACACACACACACACACACACCCTGTGATTATGTGGCACCTGTAGGCAATCCCATTGAGGGCTCAAAGTCTGGTGTACTGGAACTGGCTCCCACTACCAAGAGTAAAACAAACCCAGACTTCTAAGTCCCCAAGTGCTCTGAGGCCCTTGGGGATGACTGACTAGGGATCCAACTGGGGTCCTTTGCATTTGGCTTCTTTGCAGTCCAGCTGTGTCTTTAGGGGAGCGGAGCTAGGTTGTAGTCATCAGATTGGATGCAACCTGTGCATTGCCACCGATTAGCAAGACACAAGAATCTGATGCTCCACTTATCTGTCACCTAATACTTCCAAGGCATACAATCTGGGTTTTGGTGAACACAGGGCAAAATATTTACTAAAAATTCAGGAGAAGTACGGAATGGTAAAAAGCTTGGTCAGATTCTGAGTTCACACCAGTTAGCAGTCCAAAGTGGCAAATCAGTTTCAGTACACAAGCAATGAGCAAATCAGTGGCAAAGGACAAGCAAAAGAAAAAGCATTGTCCAGCTGACACAGCTCTGTGCTAAATGGCCTACTTGGTTCCCCAGAAACCCACAGGGTCTGTGACAATGTTCTCCTGGTGCCTGTGTCAGGTCTCCCCGCACTCCCACTTTGACTGGGGAAAAACCACACCTGAGCTGGAAAACCTTGGGCAATTTTTCCTGGACTTTTCTCATGCTCCTTTACTCTGCTAGTCCTGCCCTGCTAGTCCGGGCGGAGATTTCAGAGGAATCTTGTCTTTTGTCTGTTGAATAAATGGTAGTGGCTTACCCTTTGCTCAAAGGCTGGAAGAATTGCACTGCTTAGGCACATGGGTAGTTTAATACTGAATGGACTGGCTAAGTGCTGGCACCTGGCCTACAGATGATCTCAGCCAGGTCACCTGCATTGGAAAATTCTACTCCTTGCAATGGCCACCAAAAATTGAAGTAGAAGAGGGAAGTTGCAGATCTCTAAGAAGAAATGCAAAGCATGGAGAGTCACAATGAAACTGCTCCATGAAGCGGCTGTACCTGTGTCTCGATCTGTTGCACGGACAACTGCGACAGATGTCCCGATCCCAGCAGTTTCTCGCAAACCCAGCCGATTATACTGCCTTTGGGTAAACACTGGCACTTCATCATTGACATCTTCCACATAGACGATGACCTGGGAAATGCCAAAACACTATTTATTTATTGCTTGCTTGCTTGCTTGCTTGCTTGCTTACTTGCTTGCCTGAAATCTGTTCTGGAAAAAGAAGCAGCTACACATGAGAAGAAGGAGCAGACCTGAAGTGGATACTGCTGTGCAGAATTCTGGAGTTGTACTGGACCAAAAGATAAACTCCTGATCAACAGCACCCTCCAGATTCTGCAGATGCCCAGCCAAAAGATTAACAGCCTCCCCAGTACAAATAAAAACAGTCCACATGAGAGCAAATATATCATAGATTCCCGAAGAGCAAAGATCTCCAATATTCAAGCAGGTAATCAACAAACAGTAATTGATTCTGAAGTCTCATAACCTCTGAGTAACAAACTAAGGTCAGAAAACCTTTTTGTTGAAAGTAGTTAAACCAGGGATGTGTGTAATCATAAATGGCAAATGGTATGGGCTGTAATTCCAAGCCATCCACCCAGTGTCATGTTTCTAGCTGTGACAACAGTTGTTCCTCTGGAGGAAAGACCCCCCCCCCACTATTCCATGACAAGAAACACATTTCTTGATCTCAGAGCAGTACAAATGAGGTACGCTGCATAATGGAATATTCCACTTCATTTCTGAGTATTTAGTTAGACCCTTCATGACTAGCCTATTCTCAGTAGTGAATGTTTGTCTCTGATACATCAATAACTCATTTATTAGGAAGAGCATAAAGTAATGAAAAATGGATTAGAATATTCCTCGATGTGCCCAACATACCAAAAAGCCACGCTGCATATCAAGTGAGGATCCGCGTGGAGCCAGTTGACTAACACTTTCTTTATATGACCGGGGTACTACTGAGAGGAAGCATGATCGGGGCTTTGGCAAGCACTCCCACTGGGTGTTAGCCATGCCGCTTTGGCTGATTCAGATTCAGAAGATGAGTATTTCGGTGGGATGGAGGAACAGGAGTTTGCTCAAGGTCCTGAGATACAACAGGGTGAGGAGGCAGAGGTGATGAGCTCAAGGACAGACACGATGGCATGCTGGACAGACTCTGAGAGAAACAGGGAGTAGCTGCTGAGACTGAGGAATTCCCAGATGGGATCAGCCTCTCCCCTCAAAACTCTGGCCAGGCACCAGCAGAGGCACGAGAGGCCCAGTTAGATGAGAAGCATGTGGAAAAGAGGTGTGCTTGCTTCCAGAGAGTCCCTCCCAAAGGATTGGGACAGAAACATGCTCGTAAGGAGAGTTTTGGGAAGTAATTGCTAGATTGGGTTCAACAAACTGCTTTGTGTATGCTCAGAGCCTTGTCTGAATGATTTGCATTTGGAAACAAAAAGGAGCTTTTTTGCAAAGAAAAAGCCTGTGGCTGGTGATTGTCAGAGCCAGGAAACATGGCTCATGACAGGCACAGCCCAAAGGCCAAATTCCCTCTTAGACAAGTCTTTGAGGGTTACATTCCAATAGCAAATAGGGCAGAAGGCAAAAGTGGGTGCAAGATGGCCAAAAATCCCAGGGTAATTTAGCTTAGAGCTCTTCCTAGCAGTAACTAAGCCTTAAGAGAGGCATTTTGAGTTTTCATGATGTTGATGGGAGGGGAAGCCACACACATCTGGGGAATCTCCCAGCTCAGTGGTTGGGGGAAGAGGTGTGGCCATCTGCAGGATGCTGGGGAGACAAAAAGGGGGCCCAGGAGGGGCAATTTGGGCACCTCAGCCTGAGGTTTCCCAACTTTATAAGATGTTTAGCAAACCCCCCTCACCACAATTACCTTTGCAATGAAAAACGAAGGAAATCTTCAAATCTTTCCCAAGCTCATGAAGACTCCAATTTAGCAGAGTCATAAATGACTAAAAATATTTCTCAATAACTTGACTGTTATGAAATTCCATTGCCAAATAACAAGGTCAAGAAAACTAAATATTAAGGTCAAGAACTGTTAGAAAACCATTTCTCACTTAAATTTCGCCAATTTTAATATGCTTATCCTGCCGTAGCAACAATAATAGGATGCATAGGGAAGTGATGAGCTCTTTGTACATCTTGCCAGTAAATGTGAAGTGATGAAATATTAAGGAAAATACTCCTTCCCCATCTTCCCACCTCATACACATCTGCAACAAAATGTTTCCTGTTTGAACCCGAGATTCAACTTGACCGAACATTAAACCTAAATTAGGAAGCCATTTTGGGAGCAAGAAAAGATCAGCTCAGATTGTTCACTTGGGCCAAACCTTGCAGACCAATGTGGTTCTCAAAGGGAAGAAGAGTGACATGAAACTAAAGGCTGTCGACTGAATAAGGGGAAATGGAAAACTTGTAGGCCCAAACCAGAAACCTTGTTAGATGAACCACAACAATCCAAATGTTCTCCTTCTTTGAATATACTGTTTCCTGATATGTACTGGGAAAAAGCTCCTGCACTGTTCACTTGAAAGGCAGAAACCCTGATTTCTCCCACACCTTGGAACTCCAGAAGGTGCGTACCAATTGCAAGTGGAAAAGGTGAACATCCTTATTATCTTCTTGTCCTGCAGAGTGCTCTTGAAGCCCGGAATCACACAATCTACAGTAACTTAGGAAGCTACATTCCAGCTTCAGGTATCAAGCTTCCTGATTCAAGTCCAGGAATCCATTTACACAGACTGGGTAAGTTTGCATGCCACAATAAGCCCCTGAAGTTGAAAACTATCTAATGAAGGTGGCTTGCTTGATGCATCAATAAACCAAACTGCTGTCAAATGATTAGACATTCCTTGGTTTCCATGGCTTGTTTTCCGCTTCGTCCTCCTCTAGGATCATTTCTGGCACAGCTTTTTAAAAAGTAAAGCCTCTGTTTGTTTATGGATTGTCAGCATTTTTTCCTACTTTCCAGAAAGGGTATAGTGTGAAAATTAGGATTTTTGGGAGATTTATGCATATTTCCATTAACTAATGCTTGTTTGCACACAGGGTTCTTGTCCAGGATATGAAGAAGCCATTTTGCTGAAGCTAAGCAGGTCTGGTTCTGATTAGTAGTTGGAGGGGAGACCACTTTGGATGCGCTTGTAGCTACACTGAGTTATCACTCCATTTCTATCCCACTCAACAGCCAAAGCTCTCTCGATGGTTTACAACAGTACATAAAAACAATAAAAGACCAATAGAATTAAAGACAATAGAACAAACCCAGCAGAATAAAATACATTTTACATGCCACAAACTCGTATAAAAAGCAACATAAGCCACTAAAATAGCTAATAACATACACTGAAGAATAATCCTGAGAAGAAAAACACCTGGAATTGATAATCTCCTCAAGCCCCCGGATAACCAATCCTTGGCATAAATGGGCATCTTAAGCTGGTGCTGAAAAGATGACACAGTTGGTTGCACAGGCTACAGAGTTCATTATACAGATGATGGGATGAGGCGCATTACATAATGCTGCCTCCTTCTGAGCTTCCAACAGGGATGTGTGGGGAATCTGCACTGGAGCGTGGATCCACTGAATCCCCATGGCTCAGGTCCCCGGACTCCAGCCTCATGGCCCATGCGAGTGCTGCACACATGGCAGCCTTCTTCCACACATGTGGCTTGTGTGGTTTGTTTGTGTGGCACACGGTATGGAGGAGAGTTGCTGGGTTCTGCAAGCGTTTGTGGACTTCCTCTTGGCTTGCTCCTAAGCAAGGGCTGAGGGAAAGAAGTAAGTCTGGTACAGCAGGAGATCTGAAAGCGCACATCCCATCAGCTCACATCCTAAGCAAAGGCTGAGGATGAGAAAGAAGTCTGATGAGCAGAAAAGAACTGGATTCTGTGGGATTGCGGCAACCCTACTGCCTGAAGATTGGAACCTGGAGGAAACCCCAAGATGCGGGATGTAGTGTCCAGATACATTGCAGCCATGGGAGGCACTCCATCAAGTGTTGTGGTTCCAAGTGATATGTAAAATCAGCATCCCGAGATGGTCCCAGAAGCACACAAGCAGCGAATGTAAGCAGGCCAGAATTGGTCCTATGTGTTTTATCCTAACAGGTTCTACTTATGAATCTGGCTGTCATGTTTTCCACAAGCTATAGCTTCTGAACTACAGAGCAGCCCCACATAGAGTGAGTTAAAGAAATTTAACTTAGAGATTGCCAGAGCGTAGCTCTGAAAGAAGGCACGCTGAGACACTGAGGCTACCTGAGTTTCAAGTGATAAAGATGGGCCAAGAAGAACTCTGAAGCTATGGAGCTACTCCTTCGGGGAAAGTGCAACCCTATCTAGAACAGGCCGAACACCCTCCATCCAGTCAGAGGAACCACCTACCAAGAGCACCTCATTTTTTCTGGATTGAACTTCAGTTTGTTAGCCCTCATCCAATCCATTGTCTCAGCCAGACACTGGTTTAGTACATCCACAGTCTCACCTCTTGATGATAAAAAGGAGAAATAGAGTTGCATGGCATCAGCATACTGATGACAATGCACTCAAGAACTCCAGGTGACCCCTTTCAGCAGTTTCTTGTAACTATTTAATAGCATGGGGAGCAGAACTGACCCCATGCAATGGACTCCATGCTACCATGCAGGAACTCCATGCTGGAGAATTCACAGGGTTGAAAAATATCCCCCAAGCACCATCTTCTGGAACTGGCCATCTAAGTTACAGCAGAACCACTGCAAGGCAGTGCCCTTAATTCCAACTCAAATAGTCACCCCAGAAGGATACCAAGGCGATGGTATCACAAGCTACTGAGAAGTCTAGGAATATCAGCATGGTCATTCTCTCCAGTCTCTCTCCACACATAGGACATCACTCACAATCACCAAAGCCATTTCTGGTCCAAACTAGGCTTGGACCCTGACTGAAATAGATCCAGTTCTCACCTAAGAATGTCTGAAGTTGGTTAATAACTACCCACTCAGGAATCTTTCCAAAGAAAGGAACAGTTGCTACCAGCCTAAAGTGATTAAAGTCTTCCAGCTCCAGGGAGGTCTTCTTCAGAACTGGTCTCATGGTCTCTTGCAGGCACCATGCGACCACTCCCTTTGGTAAGGAAGCATTAATCGCCCCCCTAGCCCAACCTGGGCTTTTTTAAACAGGAGGAGCAAGGATCCAGTGTCATAAACAGGGTCCAGTGTTATATCCCAGAAGAAAGGTGGGATATAAATGTTATAAATACTTAAAGCAAATGCATACAAATCTGAAAAGTGGAAAAAAGGTTAAAAATAACAAATTACTCAAATCCCAATTTTCACACCTTAACCTATGGGCAGGGGAGGGACAAGCCATTCTGAAAACAAGCAACAACCAATAAGCTGCATGTTCTCAGGTTGGGCATAGTTAACAAATCATGTTGAAATCCCTGTGCTGGGTTTGGACTCTGAAGAAAGACGTCTGACAACTCACAATGGTTTGTTGTGCCATGTGTCCCTTTCTGAAGTGTATGTCTCCATTTTTCTTATCTGGTGCTAATGAATTCTGAAGATCAAAGAAATTCATCCTAAAGAAATACTTCAAATTCTATTAGCTATATAGCAAATACTCTGACAACAGTTTTAATCTCTCTGCTCAGTATTTGACAGGTTTACTTGACAAAAATCTTGCTGCTAGTTCTACTACAATGCTACAAGATAATAATTATGATACTATAACGGTACAAGAGATTTTACTGTATTGCAGTTCCCCCCACCAATTTAAGACAGCCCTTCGAGTATTTTGAAGGGGGACTACCCACCCTCACAGAGCTTCTCATTGGTCCTTGTTCACTGTTGTAGGCCTCCACTTCAAGAACGTGAGAGGAATTGCGTTCTCTGTCCAGGGGTCGCAAGCCCCGCATGACCAGTCCACTGCTGGGGTTGATCCGGAAGTTGTTGAAATTGTTTCCTGTTGACGACAAATGAAGACTGCAGAACAGTACATGCCGGCACACCATCAGTCTGAAAGACTGCAATTCTGCCTCATAGTGCTTCTTGTGAGGCATCTTTAGGATAGGCTATTCTACCTCGGAAAGAAACGTGCAAACCTATTTAACGGAAGCAAAAATGTTAGTGCGTTTTTGGGATGGTTGGCTGCTTCAGTGTACAGAGAGATATGGAATTAAATGAGAACGGCAGAAGCATTTTGATTTTTTAAAAATATAACTAAGCCAATTTAATGATAATGCTACAGATCTATACCTAGAAAATGCATTAAAATATTAAATACGTTTCTCGTGGTTTAATAAGGTCTCTTTTAATGCCTTTTTTAAAAAGCTAGCTAATGCTTTGTTACATGCATTTGTGTGCAATGTGCAGTTTCCCCCTAGATTGGACATGCCATTTGACTGAGAAGTGAACCGGCTCTTGAGGCTCCAGAATGCAGGGGAAGGGATAACCCAGGAGCTGACAAAATGCTAGGAAAACCAGGTGCCAGTCTAGCTGGAATCTGGTGCTGATGATCTTTGGAAGACATCATTCTCCCTTTGTGTCCTGTGGTGGAGAACTATCAGAACTATGGCCTCAAGGAGGCTGGAGATAACAGCGATGGCTGGCTAAGGGCCAACACCTGGAGCAAATGGCTCGCCCCAGGGACTGGGAGATGGGCCCTCACCCCACAGGTCAGCTGTCCCAGGTGGGGGTGGGTGGGTGGGTGGGTATAGTCCAAGAACTGAGCAGCCTTTCGTTTCTCTCTTGGGCGGCTGTGACTGCTGCCGATTCCCCTTGTGGAAGAATGCTGTGGCATCCTGTATATCCTGTGCTGGTAAAAGGTAGAGCTACTGTGTTTAGGCTAGGGTAGAAGCCGTTGGTTATTTCGCTGTCCAAGTGGGCCAACAAGGCTGGGAGTTGAGTCCTTGGCTGGCTGTAATTCGTTCTGTTGCTGCTGTCCAATTCCTCTGTCCCCTCCCTTGCCCTTTTCCCTGGCTTTATCCTTTTAGATTCTGCGTTTTAGTCCCTCTACCCCTATATTTTAACCTTTTAATAAATGCATTTGTTCCCCAAGCTTAGGTTTGTCATGTACTGAATCCAGTGGCTGGTGCAGGGTTCTGGGATCAGGGATTTTCCGGGCAGGATTTTGCCCAGGTGGCCGGGGGAGTAAGGAATCTTTGATGGCTTTCTGCTGCAGTAACTTTGTTGATTTTTGCTACAGACAGCACTGTATTTCTCAGTTGTTTACCTCTTTCATGTTCATGGCTTTTAATTACCTTTACAGGGTAATCCTGCTCAAAGATCTGCCAAGTTCAATGGGACCAACACCCTGGTAAGTAGCTATAGGACTGCAGCCTTAGGGAACCATCCTATGCATATTTACACAAAAATTCCCAGGACTCCTAACATTCTCTAGCTAGCCAAACTGGCTGGGGAATGCTGGGAGTTACAGCACCCTTTCCCTGCCACTTTTAGTCTTCTTCCAACTATCCTTTTCCAATCATAGTGAAGTTCACTCTTCCCTGCCCCCAACTATGTGAAGCTTCCAGATGGGCTTCCTACTGGATGTGGACAGAGAGTCTATTTTCACAACACTACATTTCTCTTTTTGGGCCATGCTGATTGTTTCACTTTCCCTATTTAGGCAGATTTACTTGGAAACAAGTCCCATTCTTGATGTGAAAGTCACTTCAGCTGATAAAGTACATCTTGAGATCATGACCACAGAGACGTAGATATTAAAATGTGCTGATACAATGTAAGCCATTTTCTATAGAACAGTTAATCTTCAAGGTTATGAAGAATGAAATGTAAGGCATTAATGTTATCAAAAAGGAATTACAGCAAAAGTCACATATATTCAAAGATTTCTGTCAGATTTAGGTCTCCTAATAATTAAGTTTAGAATGGAGGAAAAAAACTTGGACCAGTATTGGTAAGGCAACTGGGGTTAAGGTTACGGCTGCAGGGCATAAATACGGTTGCTGCAGTTCAGGGATAGACAACCTACTGCTCTTCAGATGCTTTGAATTATAATTCCCATAAATCCAAGCCAGCATAGTCAGAAGTCAGGGATTACAGAAGTTGTAGTCCAAAATTATCTGGAGGGCACCAGGGTATCTACCCATGCCTAGTTATTGTACAGGTGTCCTATAATACAACTATCCAGAATAAAATTAACATATGAACGTATCTCTGCTTACCTCTGATAATCCTATACCACACCCGGCCATTTACACCTTCATCTGCATCTGTTGCTTTGACCTTTGAACAAAACAAACAGAAACTAGAAAATATGAACAATTTTTATATTGTACCAAATGCTGATTCCCCACCCCATTTAGCTGAAAAAGAACTGCAAACATAGGAGATGGGGTATTAGTATTTCCCAGACTTGAGGAAGTATTAAAAAGTTGGACCTTGGCAACAGTAGCACTTATTACCTACACTGCTAAGTGTAACAGCTTGTCTCCACTCTGCTTTTGCATGCACCTTCTTTTGCTGCTTTCCCCCTTCACAGCTAGGTAATCCGGCCTTGCAATTGTATGCAAGTTTGCATATACACAGCCTTTTTCTTGCAACACTTCCCCACTCCCTTTGACAGCCCAAAGAGACAAGGAAACACACCTCTCATACCAGATAGCCTTACATGTGCTTCTGCGCACTTGCAAAACACTTAGAAAATAATAGATCGTGCAGTTTTCTGGGGATATTTTTTTTTCTTTTAAAAGTGTGGTGAACCCATGACAGTCACTCCAAAGAGCCACTTGGGCATCAGTGGAGGGCTGTCACCGTTCGTGTCACCAGTGAGATCTGTCTGGTTTTTGCTATTCTTGCCAAGGGGCTTGCTAGCCAGTTCCTGCAACCCATGATAGAATTTCTCTCCCAGCTATGGATGACACACTGCCCATTATGAGTCAAACCATCCCTAGAACAAACCACGGGCTGTCAGGGTGGCTTGCTGCTTCAAAATAAGTGGTCCAGCAAATTATTTATGATAGGACGCTGATCACACAAGCATGGATAACTGCTCATTCTGTCTAGGAATGTTCACAACTGACACCCTAGCCAGGAATATGGTGGGGGTGCAGGTCTTGCCCCCCCTCATGTAGGGGTAGAGATTGCATCATCTCTGTTCAAGTGCCAGGTAATTTTGCTGCTTTCTTCCAAACATCTGTATTTGCATTGCCTTCCCGTAAACAGGTTATATCAGGCCTCTTGATACTAGAGTTAAGACTGAGAAAATGCTTTGTTGAACTATCCATTATTGAGTAGGACCGTGAAACTGGGTCTGTAACACCTTTAATCAATATCATTGATTAATGATAGCCACAGTGTTGCAATGGCCACTACTACAGAACATCTAGGCAAAAAGCCCAACTTTACTTTGAGACAGTGAGTGCTGATTCTTAACAGGTGGTCTGTGGACCACCTGCAGGGTGTAACCTGTGTGTGTTCTTCTGGTCCCCAAAGCCCAAGTGAAAATAAGGAAATGGCCCCAGAGGGTTGGAGAAACAACATGCTGCAAACGAAGCAGGGCTGCCACAAAGAACTGAAGCTCAGCGTCAAATTCTTGCTTTCTCTCTCTGCAACATGTCATGTGCCTTGCCTCACAACCTGATGCCATCACACTGTGAATTTCCCTTTCCCACAAGACTGGCTGCTAAATGTGGGTAAACAGGAAACAGACTTAATGGAAAAGGGGAGGACACAAATTCAACTGGGGGCTGCCATTTTGACAGCACCTCCATAATTTTTGTAATGCACATTTTGGCCGTGAAGGTGTCAGCTGACGGAAAAGGCACACGTTGCTAAGTAACAAGTAGGCTCTACAGGTGTCTTCTCTGACAAACCTTACTGAGGAAGTGGTAGCTGAATACACAGTCACTTCTGTATTCAGCTGCCAACGCTTCATGTCACATTCAAAGGGAAACACACTCAGGCTATGCGATGTGAATCTCTCGTGTGAGAATTCCACTTTTGGACATTGCGAAATACTGCCAGCCGAAAAGAGACGTTACTCTGTGCATCTGGCTGGTGGTACCTCCCTCAGAATGTATGAAGGCTTGTGGATGACACAGAGTGTACACAAACCTAGTAATGTTACCCTTTATGTTCACCCCTGAACATTTAGTGTTTTAATTGCATAGGAATATATAGCAAACTGGGTTGTAATTCTGAAGCTTTTCAAGCAGTCTGGGAGTTCCATTCCTGAGAAAATGGAAATTCGTCTTTAAGTCAAATTTGTATGCAAGTCAGGTCACATATAGTCGGCCCTCCACATTTGTGGGGGTTAGGTGTGTAGGACCTCTGTGAAAGTGGTAAAGCCACCAATATCTCTAGCCCTCCCCCTGCCCGGGCTCACCAATGCTGGAGAGCCTCTCCAGATGGGTGGAGCAGGAAGGCATGATTTATTTTATTTAGGACATTTATAGGCCATCTATCACTTTCGTCTCTGGATGGCTTACAACATAATCTGAATCCTAAACAACTATAGATTAACTACACCACGACTGAATATATAAAATAGAATAGTTAAAATAAGTTAAATAAATAAGCATGCAATTAAAACCAATTAACATTAAAATATTGGTTAAATAAAAAGGTCTTGCAGATTTGGAAACCTCCCTCCCCCCCCCCCCTTTGCTTCCTCTCTCCCTATGGTGATTTTTCATAGTTTTTTTTAATTAATGGGCTTTAAGGCAGTTTGCTTATAATTACTGGACTTATCTATTCTTTATGGCAGTTTCCTTATAATTGTTTGTAAGTCGGGTGTTCTTAATCCGGGGACTGCCTGTATAAGCAAATGCTGTGGTGTGCGAAGAACAAACAACCCAGAAGAGCTGATATGTACAATTCAACAAAGTGCAGGAGCTACTGGGTTTAAGCAAGTTACTATCTAATATTCCTCTGAAGCCAAAAGTCATCTTTAGGAACAGGTTCAGAACCTCAGATATCACTTGCACAGTTTGTTACTGTCCTTTCCATGTTTCAGAGGTAGCCTGTATAAATGGGATATTATTGTCTGACACTACAGGAAACATAAGCTGATGATACCATCTGGTGTTCTTATTGCTCATTGCAAGCAATGTCTTGTCCGAAGCTCTTGTCTGAAGCTCCACTGGTGAGATTGGAGTTAAGTAGATGAAACCTAGGAATAACTTACTTCTTGTAGGTAGTTTTGATGCAAGTATATCAGAGAAAAAATAGGTATACCATTTATGAGAGCAGAGGGATGAAAAATACCCTACTGACTTTAGAAATTTAGAATTTTTATTTTGCAGTGTGTGTGTTGGGAGTAGGCGGAAGTGAGAGAAAGTGAATGCAAAAGATGAATGGTGCTTGGAGGAAAGTATGGCATAAGAGTAGAGCAACTAAAGAGAAGTTGTACATTGAGGAAACGAAAGCCATAATGTGCAATAGCTTATTTCTTCATGCAAGTCATTCTGCATTTGCTTCTACTTCTGTTAGGTATACTGCATGTTCTGTTTTAAATGGTTGGGAACTACCCAGAGAAATTCAGCTACTGGGCAGTAAAAAAGATGTAAGAAACAAACAAACTTGTTTCTGTGTAGATACCTGCAGTCTTTAATCTAAGTATCACAGATCTATCCAGCACTAACTCCTGCGACTGCAGTAGCTAGAATGGAGATGAAACAAAAATTGCTCCCAGCCATGGAGGCTTGTTAAATACATGGCGTTTGCTCTTCCCCAGCACCAGGGACAGTAAGATCTATGCACTGGTGAGTGCTTCAGACAGTTCCATCTGGCCGCAGTTCTATCCATGGAACATACCACTGCTGAGTTTTGGATTTCAGCCTTTAAGAAAAAAATTCTACTGGATGCCAAAAAGACAACAGCTACTTACATGCCTATAGTAGTTTTATGTTGACATAATGCAGGCTGATGTATATTCTACTCTTTGGATGCAGGTTCAAAACTGTACTAAATAGCAAAATGCAGAAGTGATACTATCAGTTATAAATGATGGTGCAATTAAATAGCTAGGCTTCCTGACAATAAACATGAAAGCAACACATAGCAAAGAATTAGGCTGTTGCTTTCATGGTTAATGGTTGTTTCTGCAGAGATTAATTTCAGTAAATAATGGCTTAGCTTGGAATAGATAAGTCCAGTCTTGCTTGGTTTAAGATAAGTTCCAGTAAATATTTTTAACTCAACTCGCAGACTTTATATCCTAACAACGAAAGGTGTGTCAACTGTGCTGCAATGTATTGGTGCCCCAATGCATGCATTGGTGAAAACACATGCGTGTGTCGCAAAGGTTGCATCTTTCAGTGCAACGGTGGGCCCACTCTGCACCTTGTAACTGACCATGTGGCATGAAAGGCAGGCTCACTGGAGTTCCTGGAGTCACTGCGCTCCACAACAGTAGCAATCCAGCTCTCGTCTGCAGCCTTGCAAACCAACACGAGTCACAGGAGGGAGACCAAGCATAATTCCAGGCCTGACTCAACCACTTCAGTCCTGCTGTTGCTGCATTCTCAGCTCAGAAAAGGGCAGACTGGAAACCTACATTGGGACACTACCATTTCCCTTCCCACATCACGCTGCATTTGCTGCCCTTGTGAAATACCAGGAAAGATACTCAAGTTCTCCCTTGCTCAGCTTGCTTCATATACTCTGCCTTTGTGCCCACTTCTCTCTCTCTCTCTCTCTCTCTCTCTGTGTGACTCTCTCTCTCTGCCCCTGCTGACAGCTCCGGGCTAGAGCAAGACCATTTTTGTTGTTTCATATAACAAAGAATGGTGAACCTAGAAATTGGGAGACATTACATGAAGGATGAGAGACTGATCTTAAAGATGGGGATATGGGCAAAATAATAAGTAAGGGTGGGCAGAAAGTTCCTTTGAGAATGGAAGGCTGGCAGAAACTGCGGCCAGAGGTGCTCCTCCTGTCTCTCCCCTTCCCCCAATTGCTGGTCCCAAATCAACTGCTGACTAAGTTGGAGGCTGGCTTTCAATGAATAGACTCCAGTGACCAGACTGTACCATTCAAACTTTCAGCAGGGGATGGAGCAACTGCTGCAGGTGAAGAATCACAATTCACTAAGGGCTCCCATTTCAAAAGCCCTATCTTTTATGCCTGTCCAAGAAAGTTAACCCAGGATACTCAGAAAGCTTGCAACTTTGGATTTACACTAAATGAAATGTTTACTACAACATCTAAGTTACTTTGCTCCTGTGTTCTCCATCCTCCCCCGTCCCCCGCCCACACCCTATGTTCCCTTTACCCCTCCCCCA